CATGCCTTTAGCCTATTATATAAGCCATAGACGACACTGTGGAAAAATAATAGCTGTATTCATTAGTTTGTGCCATCACAAAGGCAATTTCAATGATAGCATGGGCCGCGAGAGTCGGTGAAGATTCTGGCAACAAAACTATATTTAACCGTCACAAAGAACAGTCATGAACTCCCAAGACCTATCTGTTAATCATCGATAGTGAATAAAATTCAAATTTTATACATTTGGAGACTAGGAGAAGAGCTTGTGTAGTCCTTCCATTGCTTTTCCACCATTACAGAGTCTGTCCGTGTGACGTCATCAGTTTCCAATTCCTGTTACTTAGTAATACCATAGACACTTTATTGGTAATACAATCTATGCTAAAATGCGGATCACTGCTGATTGTTCCACACGTGGAATGAGCGCTGAGAGCACGGAACGTGCACAGGCGTGTGCCTAGAATGCGGATCAACTCCTCACGAATTCAGGATATATACCATGATAACTTCCCGCAGATCAGTCCTCTTGTTATTTTATTACATTCAGTCTTTATTTGTTGCAATGTTTAACTCTTTTACAAAGTAAAAATAGACATAATATAATTATTTTTAACAATAATAATTTTAAGCTTTGAATGTATGACATTTCAGGGATGACATCAAAAGCATTCAGTCATTGTTCATAAAATAGATTATACTAAATCTAGTTGTAACAAAATGAGTACAATCTGCAATGAGAACAAACATAGCTGTAGGCTTTAAACAATGAAAGTCACCTGAAACAATTATCTTCATTGTGTAAAAAAGATTATTATGATACTGCCAAAAATATTAATATAAATTATTCTATTGGCCAAAATTTGTTGCAACCTATATGATTTTTCTTCGCACAACATCTTCATTTGCAAAAAAGTCTTGATTTGGATGCATCTACAGACATCTTATTTTAGTTTCCTATAACTTATTACTGAACATGAAGTAGTTTTTTGAATTTGGTCTTTCAAATTTTTTATAGCTGCATGATCTTTGTGCTTCATAGCGATGTGGTAAATCTGAAGTTTCGTCAAGATGATCACAACTCAGTGTTAATAAATCATGAAACTAGCATCTTTTGAGTATGAATATTATTCAGTGATTCTAGTTGCAGTACTAAAGATATTAATTAAATATTATAGATGTGTTTTTGTTTTAACTAACACTAATATAGTTTTTTTTTAATTTCACATTATTATCTTTACTGCTTGTTTCATCATTTAAAATATTTATACAGGATTAGAGGGAAGCTATAATAATGGTAAACTTGATACATGTAGAAAACATGACACTTGCAATAAGAAGATAGTCAAATAAAAATATCTTATGCTCTGCATTAGCAAGTAGAGTTGGGTCAACTTTAATTGTTTTACTTTTCATAATTATCAAGAAATATTTTAATTACCTGAAACTTTTTAAAATTAATGATTTGCTATTAATCTAAGACTAAGCTGCTAATGAAAGCATTATAATAACAACATTAAATATCTTAAATATAATCACAGCAGTATTTGTGGTCACATGAAATATCTTAATAATCATTGTTACACAATGAAGAACTATGTTTGTCCACATTTCAGATTGTAACTCATTTTGTTGCAACTAGATTCAGTATAATGACAGATATTTTGTGACCAATGACTGAAGGCTAGAGCTTTAACTTGATATTATCACTGAAATGTCGTACATTCAAAGATTGAAATTATTACTGCTAAAAATAATTATTTTATGTCTATTTTTACTTTATCAATGAGTAAAAAAACAAGAGGACTGATCCGCTGGAAGTTATCATGGTGTATATTCTGAACTTGTTAGGAGCTGATCTGCATTCTAGGCATACACCCGTGCACAGTCCGCGCGCTCACGTGCTCGTTCCACATGCGGAACAATCCACAGTCATCCACATTCTAGTAACGCCCAATACTGTATACACATGAATATGAAACACGGCCGGACTGGATGTTCTGAGGTGTGTTTCACCGGAAATATGTCATATTATGTCTTTCATTCACAATAAAAATAATGATAAAAAGTATTATTATTATTATTACTAATCAAATTTAAATTTGAGATTTTATGTACAATAATACAATAAAACTTGACATTTATCATGCATCATAATTGCTAGCATTTTCCTTTTTTTAGTATATGTAGTCTACTAATGCATGACTTTCCTATCTCTTGTCACCTAAAAATGATGATTTTGACAACACAATTGTACCAAAACTAAAAATACACTCCCTTAAGAATAGGCCCACTACAACTACCTATTCTTAAGCTACAAAACCATATAGAAAAAGTTCCAATTAAGTAAAGTATTACCACGAAAAATTGACTAGAAAGTTGGGGCTTGAAAAACCAATATTTAGAAAATAACAGCTCTTCTACTTGACACAAGCTCTAAATAATAGCCCTCCTACTACAACTAGTAAACAATAACCTATCAGTGCAATATAAAATGTTGGCCTAATTCAACAAAGTTAAGCTAAAAAAGTGGCTTGAGTGAAATATACACAACAAGTAGGCTCTGACATCTACTGTAGAGCCAAGATTTGCGGTCAATCTATCTTTTATGAGCATTATTTCAATATATGAAGGCTTTGCAAAGTCCTTTGAGGGATCATTCCACTACTTTAACAAACAAATAGGCTACTGTGATTACTTTACATACTCTGGTAGCCATGAATGCAGCGAAACACGGGTGAGGACAGCCGGATGTGACGTTTATGATGCTTTCTTATGGGAATTTATATGTGTGTATAGAGGAGTTTCATATTCATGTGTATACAGTATCTATGGTAAAACAGTGTTCAAGTTTTCTTCATTTTCGTGAATTACGGGTGTGGTCAAGATAATTCTAATCATACTGGTGCTTCTGATCCCTCCTTAAACCACTGGAAACTGCTGAAATCATGATCATGCAAGTGATAGATTTGTTCAGCTACTTGTTATAGCAATAGCTATCCAAATTATTAATCGATAGCAGAAAGACTATAATAATCAAAGACCCAAAAACAGTGGCCGCACTGAGCCTATTTATAGTTGTGTGAGCATGCGCATGAAACATGTGCAAGAATGTTCTAAACATGTGTAAGAGTGTTCTGTACATGTACTGGAATATTCTAAACAACTGAGTACTAGAATGTTCTAACAAAGTCTATGAATGTTCCAGAAGTTACTAAACAAAGTCCTAAGATGAAAGAGAGAGAGAGAGAGATGTGACATGGGTGTGTGCATAGATAGATTAAGGAAGTCTGAGGTCAAAGTGTCTTCCTCAACACCAAGAGTCCAGAACTTAAGTAATTTTTTCTGAATGAGGGAGGGGCTCTATGCCTCCTCAGCCCCCGGTTAATAAATCAATTAACACATTTTTCTAAAACTTGGATTGACCTGGTATTGTTTGAAAAAATAGACCTATTATACTTGTGACCCTTACTGAATGCTATAGCTTATCAAACAATACCAAGTATCTATAATTATATTACTGAAGTCACTGTAGCAAACAGTCAGCAAGATAAGACTATAAACTGCTGTCTAAAACTTCTCAAGCAAAAAGAAAGTTTAAGAAAGCTATACAATTTTTTCCTTGATATAAAGGACTCTTATAAATTAAATGCAAGTGAGAAAGCTGCACGATTTTTCAGCTGTAGTAGCTGCAGGCATGCATTTATAGCAGCAAGCTTAGGTTATCAAAGCAGATGTACAATCTTCTTCAAATATTTGGTCAGTGACTGCTGCTAACTATATAAGTTAATTGCTGCAGAGATTCTTAAGTAATCAAGTGATAGAAAAAATTTAAGCAAAAAGACTGCAACACAATCCATAAACTGTATTTAGACTTGTGCAATTGCTTTACTTGCTCATACATGTAGATCATACAACACATAATCTATGGCTTGCTCAGGCTCACTCCTTTAATGCTTTACATTTTTCAAGTATTAATGAAGTACCATGGTGCGTGGACTCGCCTGCTGGGATTCACCTGAGGGATAATGTGTTACTTGTACTACCCTTATCATGATAATTATTATATTATATATAAGCAACTTGATATTTGAAAAAAGGATAAAAGATTTTGAGTAAACTGTAACAATGCAATTACTGCACTGATTCATAAAATACCGTATAGGGCATAATGTTCGCGGGACGCAAATTACGCTGATTTCGTGGATAAAGAAAATTTGCAAAAATAAAATCCGCGAATATCAATTTAATACCGTATCCGCATGGCACACGTGGTAGAATTCGCAAAATTAAAATCCACAAATTGGAATTTTAGTAGATTTTGTGAAATTTGCCTCCCGCGAACATTATGCCCTATACGGTAAATTATAGGTGTGGTCAGCACTTAGCAGTGCAGATAAGCATGACATGTGGCTAGGAAAAAGAAGAAAAGCTGAAATTTAGTTTAGCATTTGAAGCTCTATTCAATGAAAGAGTTAGCACAAAAAATTTGCCTAGATATTTAAAAGAGACTGAGATAGTTTGGTTGCTCCTGCTTTCCCCAGTGTTGCCTGAAAATTTTTCAAAGAGGCTAAATCACAAACTTTAAGCAACTGTAACTAGCAATTCGCAAACAAAAAAAGAGATTAAAAAATTCCCTTGTATTTTTTAATCTAGGTACTTTTCTCTACCTATTAATGCTAATCTTGACCAAATAGAGTGAAACGCGAAGATTTGGCTAGGAAAAGTGGTCTATTCTCAAAAATATTCAGCTTTTGCTATCACGGATTGTTATTAAATACAACAGAGCTAAATAAATTACCTTTTTTTGAAAGCTTAAAAAAATTATAACTCAGGAGAGCTCAATAAAAAAGATATTGACCAGGAATTAACAGGAATTTTTGTGACAGAATGACAACCCAACTACATAGTACCCGCCTATGCAAGCGTGGCGAGTCCAATAATATAATGTGGCACCTCAAATTAATCATGCAAATGGCTTTGATTGCTAATAATATTTACATATGTTTTCTTATTTAGCCAATATCATGTCTCAAACATCTGATGGTTCAGCAATATCAAATTGCAGGCACTGTCATGAACCTTTTCCTTCTGTTGATGCACGTTTTTGCAGCCAGTGTGGAGAGCCAAGATTTAAAAGAAAACAATGCCTTTTATGTCATCTTTATGTTCCTGACAGAAAACTGTGTAAAAACTGTTTAGCACCTTTAAATCCAAATGACTTTGATTATACCCCACTTAAGCGCTGCAGTAATTCTGATTGCAATGCATTTCTTGTAAAAGAGCTTTTGAAGTGTTACAAATGTCAAAAAGAACAAGAAAGTATTCCACCAAGTATTCTAGATCTGCAAGCAATAAGCAGTGAATTATGCCCTGGTTCGCCTACAAATTCACAGCCACAAAGTGGTGAATTGTTCCCTGATTCAGCTTCAAATCCACAACCAATAAGTGGTGAATTGTTCCCTGATTCAGCTTCAAATCCACAACCAATAAGTGGTGAATTGTTCCCTGATTCAGCTTCAAATCCACAACCAATAAGTGGTGAATTGTTCCCTGATTCAGCTTCAAATCCACAATCAATAAGTGGTGGGAAAATGTGTCCTGATTCACCTTCGAATTTACATATTTATGAACCTATATGCCCTCGTGACATACCTAACAATGCTCTTACTGGAATGGTGGTCAGGTTAGCTCTTAAATTTTAGCAATACACCACTGTATTTTTATTTGATGTGTTGTACCACAAATTGTTAGAATTTTTGGCATTATCATGCACTTTGAACCCACAAGTTCTCAAATTTTCCCATGCTTTTGACAGAAGCTATAATAAAATATTATTCAACATAGATACTTTATTGAATCTATTGGATAACCAAAGAAATAGGAAATGTAGCACACAATATTAATATTAAAATCAAAGTATAATTGAGTGTGCTGAAGGAAACCCATACACTTAGCCAGTGAGTTTTAAAAAAATAAAAACATGAATGCAAGTGATTATTAATGTCATAAGTGAATAAGAATAATGCAGTTACAACATGGACACATAACATCAAAAGTGCATAGATTATTGACATCAAAATATGATGTCAATAATGGCAAGAGTGGATAGTGAGAAGTGGAGAGGATGTTAATTGAGGGAAGCTATGTGTGAATTCAAAGTAAAAGTGTTAATAGTACAACTAAGAAAAAGCTTAAGACTCGATTTGGATGACAAGAAGAATTAAATGAGACATATATAGCTGAGTATATCACATGCTTCAGAAGAAGACAAAAATGAAAGGAAAAAGAAGATTTCATATAACTCTATAGTGTCATCATAAGAAGCAGTAAATGCAGATAAACAATAATAATATTTTTAAATGCCCATTTATGCCCCAAAAAATTAATTAAAAACAATTATTACAACTACAAGTTTATTCAGTTCTCAATATGTCTAGCTCAATACCTTTTTTTAGGCATAGACCTCAGTCAGGAACAATTGTTTTTCATGCATTGTTACCAACAAAATTGTGGCAATGGGATGGACAAACAAGAGTGTACATTAAGTTTTCTCATAAACAAATTGATGATTGGAGTGAGCCATTAAAAGTGATTAGGTACATATGATGTAAAAGTATTTTAAAATAATGTTGCATCCACAGAGGTAATGATGACATGAAAGAGCTCACATATGATTTGAAAATGAATCATGGTGTTAATTATGATAACACTCTGTATAGATACCATGTGAACTCAGCTGCCACAAAGGGTACTCATCAACCTGAGTACATTACTTGTAATGTGACAAAAAATTTACCTGAGAATACTCATCGTGTCCTTAAAGTTCGCAGAGGTATTAATGAATTTAAAGTTGGTCACAGATTAATTATTTATAACAGGTAATCATCAGTATGATATGGCAATTTTGCCACAAATTGAAGAAAAGAGAAATAATTGGAGAATGATTGCAAGCACTGTTAAAGATTTTGTTTTTAGAGAAGAGGATATTACAAGAAAGAGATGCTTACATATTTATCTTCAAGATCAGCTCAAAGCTCTTCATACTGGCAATATTCAAGTGTCTGGAAATGATCTTGTCAGTAGTGTTATGGAAGTTTATGACTGCTTAAGTAATATGTGGATTCAAGAAGAGGGCTCAGACATCAAGAGCACTACACCAATTTTGTCATTTCAAAATTTGGAAAAGGTATCTTTTTATGTAATTCTTTAATACAGTTAACTACTATAAATACTTTAATGATATGCATTAATGACATTTTTGTTTTAATGAAAATTGTGCATTTTTAATAGGAAATAAAGTTACTGTTGTTCTCAATAGTTGAATACCATATGAATGAAAAAGCAGTTCAATATAAAAAAATTGTTGTTGTGGCAGCTCTCATTATTTGTTGTCTTCAGAAATTGGAAATCAAGCATTCTAATATACGTTCAAGGGATGTCAATGCATTATTGAGTTTGATTTTTATATACCCAGGTATTGATTATGAAAACCAGCGTTGTGATCAGCTTGATATTCTTAAAAATTTACTTCATAATAATGATGAACTGAAGTAAGTTTTCTTTTTGTAAATTAATATTTATTTTCATTACATAGACATTTATTTATTAATGGAGTAGAAGCTTGTTGTAAAAGATTGATTGATTCAAAATCAGCTCCCATTTATGTATCAAATGTTTTGAGAGTAGCATTTTTAATTTATCTCATCATGAACAAGCAGCTACCGACTATTGATGTTAATCAATTCCCAAATTATATACAGTGGGTTCCACATGGCCAGAATCAAGTTTATTGGTGTATATTGAAAGCAATTGCAAATAGAAAATGGGACCCAAAGTAAGTTATGAATTTTTGCAATGCATGTCTAATGAAAGTATTTTGCAGCTGTTCAATACAGGTTTATCATGATTTGGAATCTTGGCTTACACTTTATCCTCACTTTTTGCCAAATTTTATTTACAGTTGGCCTTCAACTGTGTATGAGAAGTTATTCACTGTCATAAATCCATTTTATTCAATTTCAAGAGCTGCTTTATTGCTGAACACAGTTAATAGAGGAACTGTAAGCAAGCCTTAAATCTTAAATGTGTGCAATCAAATTATTTTAAAATTTTAATCACACTGATCCTGACATTATTTACCATTCCCTAATATGTCATGCTGCACTTTTATAGGTGAAAAGATGGTTGCATGTCATTTCTTTAAAGATTGAAGAAGATGCACATAAGCAAAGGTTAGGGTAAACCTATTGTTCCAGCATCTGTAATGATTCATACAGAGTTGATGCTATCCAAGTGTCTCAAATTTTAAAATCTGCTGAATATTTGATGGAATCCCTTATGAGTATGAGACTTAACATGCCTGCCCTAATTTTGCAAGGCATATCTTTGACTTTACAAGTGTATTCATTGCCAGTTTGTTCTAGCAAAAATTTGTTGCCAGAATTTGCTAAACTAACATTTTACTTATCAGTATACGTTAGCAAAGAAATTGGAGGTCAACATTTTGGAAACAGAATGTGTGAGTCTTTTTCAGGAAGAACACAATTTCAGAATCCAAGAGAGTTTGAAGTAAAATCAAATTTTGTATGTAGTCTTTGATCCAGTATTAATTTAAATTAACAGATGTGGAATGAAATGTTGTCACTACAATGTTCAGCTGAATTAATGAAAATCTGGGAATCAGTTGTAGAAAATGTGCTGCTTTCTCGGATTATAAAAGTATAAATTTTGTTAGCCTTTTAAATATAGTATAAATTTAATTTTTATTAATATTTAGCTGGACTCAATAGATGACAAGATTGAAATAATAGCAAATTTCAAAGCTTTTAAAAAAATGAAACCACTGTTTAAAGACTGCATTACTGAGGAATTAGAAAAAAGCTTCAAAAAGTTTATTACTACCCCAGTAAGAATATTATAGTATATTATAGTCTATCATATTGTTAACAGGAATGCTGCATAAGTGATCAGAGTAAGACTACAATTGAGCAATCAGAAATTGGTTTGGCTATTATAAAAAAATTATTACCAATAAAATATCCTGATTTAAGTTTGAATATTGAAGCTATTCTCAATTGGGATCTTTGGCCAACATTGTTAAAAATTCAAGGTAAATATTTTATAGCACAATTGAAATCTAATTGTATTAAACTATAATAGTAAGACATTCTAAAACATCGAATAGTGATCAAGACATCTGTCACAAAGCATATGTCATTGTAGTTAACATATCTACCTGCATCTTAGATGGCTCAATTACTGTCCACAATCTTGAAATGATAAAAGAGAAACAAACCAGGATGGAAAAGTTGTATGGAGCAATTTTCCATGACAAAAATTTGGGAACTATGCCAGGCCGGTTCAATGCAACTCTTTTAGGCCACTTGAAAAAGTACACAACATATGCTTCACAGCATAAAAATTTATCAGTACTTGTTCAAAATCTTCCAAGTGCAAATATATATGGTCAGTCAGTTATTATATAGCCTTGTGTTTCAATAATTTTGCAAGTAGGGCTAGAGGAATTAAAAAGAAATCTAAATTTAGACTTTTCTGAAAAACCCATATCATCAATTTGCTATGAGAAAAATGGTCAAATATTTGTTTTTGCTTTTCAGTCTGCTGCCCCTCTTTTCACTATCCTTGATAAATTCACAATTTTGTCTCTTAGCCATCGAAGTAATACATTTCAAAAATTTTGGAATGAACAGATAGAGCAATGCCATGGCACAGACTTACAGATTGGTGATGTTGTACAGTATATTTGGAATCCTGTTTTTAAGCGTTGCTGTGAGCATCTTGAGAGCTTAAAGGACAGAAGTGTCAAATTGTCAATAGTTGATGTGCTGTTAGATCAATACTCAGAAGAAAAACTTCAAGCAGAAGTTAGCACTTTACATAGAGGAATATGTGAATGCAACGGAAGTGCATGTACTAGTGATCCCTTTTGGATAATATACTGTGTTCAAAGAATGCAACAATATCGCTTACTATGTCAACATGCAAGCACAGCTAAAGCCTTTCTGAATTTAAAGGATGCACTTACCTTAACTGGAGATTTCAGAATTATTGAACAATTAGCTGCACAGGTAAATCCATGCATTATTTTTTTATTTTCCTTTATTTACAGTTTGAAAAATCAGTTTCTGATCAGTGCCTACAATTTGTTAATGAAAGTTTAGTAGAAACAGGCAACTTTTTACATGGGATTAGTTCTGATGAAAACAAATTGTCCTGTTTAAAAATTTTTGCTAACTGTCAAGAGCTAATTAAATGGATCAAAAGAGAAACAAGAAGTTTGTTTGTAGCTTTTGACTTCAATTTAAATTTTTAAATTATTGTAGGTGTACTCGATCTGCAGCAATTTATCACCATTGCTCTTACTACTGGTAGTGGTGGAGAGGATGACTATGCACAGGATGCTCTTTCAAATTTGCGCACAATAGGCAATGCATTTGCTACATTAATTTACCACATACCAAAAAGTACTGGCTATAAAGAATTGGAAGAAAATTTTGTACATGTATGGGAATCTCTTAAACATGATCCAACTCTTCCACAAAAATTGGTAAGGTAGTGTTTTTGTTCTATTATTATGATAATTTTACAGAGTGATTGTGGCAAACAAATAGAATGGTACAAAACATTGGCACAGAAGATGAAAGGTCCAATGGAGGAGACTTATATTGGCCAAATGAAAAATATAAATAAATATGGCTGCTATATAGTTGGTTGTCATGCTGAAATGCCTTGTTCTAAACTTTCTGACATAATACAGATGGACCTACAAAAATGTCCTATGACACTACCACAGCAGAATTACACAATAGATGAGCTAAAACACTTGGAGAGCAAACTTGTTTTGATAATGGGGAACAAATCAAATGATAAAGAACAATTTGGAGAAGTTAGTAACAATTACATCTATAAAACATACCAATATCAAAATACAGGAGATGAGTGACATTTGGTTTTTGTTGCACATACTTGAATTTAAAAACTTAGTTGACTCCCAATATTTGCATGGTGACCAGAAATATTGTAGCTAGAAACAAATTGCAGTGTCATAAGCCATAACCTCCTTTATAGTTTTACATTTGACAAAAAAATGTGCAGTAGATCTAGATTAGCATAAATTTTAATGCCAATGATGCCATTATGCTTTTAGTCAATATGATATTTTTGGTAAAAGCAATTCATGCTTTCCTACATTTAATTTCAACAGAATAATAAATTATCTTTTCAAATAGGTACTTAACACTGTATGCCACATAGGAGAGTTACTCATTCAGTTACATCAGCAAAGTCATTGTGAATATGTCGGATGGGTGCAATTTTTTTCTTGTAACCATCCCAATATTATGAATATACTGATGACTGTTCGCAAAAAAATGACAAAGGATCTAGAAAATTGGCAAAAAATGGTAAACAAAACAAGACAAAAATATTATTGCTTGAGCTACTACACTACTCAGCAGTTGCTATTGCTACAAAAGGAATTATGTTGCATTGTCAAACCTAGTGATGTACAAGCTGGAGTTTTGAGTTTATTACAGTCATTGTCACAGAATGTCACTGCTGAGCAAGTAGTGTCTCTAATTCAACAAGTTAATAATGATAGCAATGAGGATGAAGATGAAGTTGATGGACAAAATAAACATGCTGCCTCACTGCAAAATGATTGTCACATCAAGGAAATGAGTTCAAAAGAGTATATAGCTGATGAATTAACAATTCTTCCATCTATTCCACCATCTGAATTAGGAGAAAATTGTAATTTGACATCTAAACAACATAAAATACTAGAAAACTTAATACAAGCATTTGATTTTCCACGAAAACTAATTCTTTTAGCTTTTGAAAAGGCTCCAAATCCAGATATAGAAGAAAGTGTTGAGTTGTGGTGTTTTGATAATGTTCAGATTGAACAGAAAATTAATGCAACAGCTATTGAAGAGCCAGTATTGAATAATTATGATGGATCTCATTCAATTGAGCAGCAAGCACATTCCCCTTCTAGTGAACCTATGTTAATGAAAAAAAATCATTCAGTAGTTCAAAATGTAGTACCAGCACTATTTGAACACTCATCACAAATACCTTTGGAAGCAGCAGAAAAGCATCCTGATGATGATGATTTGATAACAGCAAGTTTATTTTCAGATGCCATTAAACAGCAGTCAACTTCTACTTCTAGTGAATGGTAAAAATTAATTTATTATTTTACTTATGTTCATGTTTACTTTGTAGTGATGTCATTGGCACTGATATTTCAACTTCTCATAATAATTCTGAAACTTCATTTTCACTTAAAAAACTTGCAAAATTGTTAAGCAAACTTAACGACATGGGTAAACCTAAACAATAGTTTTATGTGTGATTACTATTGAAATAGTCCAAGCATTATTTACATGCACATCTTTTGGTATGTTCACTTCCACTACAAATTGTTGTTTGATGAAAATAGTTCAAGGCCATATTTTTGCATAATTTTAGCCTAAATCTAACATAAACTATATATATTTAGGATTGATTAATTCACCCTTGATTTTACATTAGATGATGCATCTATTTTTCATAAAATACCATAATAAATCAACCTTTATATTTAATATGTATGGTTAAATCAGGATTTCCCACAGGCATGCTAAGTGAACAAAACAGCATTTGTCATCAAGCACAAACAGGTGCATGACATTTTATGCAAATTTAAAAATTCATTAAACATTCAATTATAATCAAAATCAGCTAAAAATTTTAAAAATTTAAGTACGTGTGTACGTATCAAAAAATATGAAAACTATGGAATTCTGTTCTAGCCATTTCTAACAAAATTTGGTCTGTTTCTGTACAATATAGTATAGTCTGGGTGTTTGGCCTGATTTTTTAACAACTTTAAAATTCAAAAATCTATGTTCGATTCAATCAGCTTAAATTTTCTACTCTACATAGGAACTTGTGTATAAAAAATATATAAAACTGGAGAATTCTCTTCCCACAATTTTTGTCAAATATACCCTGTAGTACTACAGTACAGGGCTTTACAATTCACTGACAAGAAGCTGCATGAGTACTATGCCAAAATCCTAAGGGAAACCCTGGTTTAAATGTTCCTGAATGGAGTCAATTTATAAACAATTTTATTTTGACTTATAGGCCCTATTACAAAAGAACGAAAATTTCCAAAGTTTTTGAAGCAAGGAGAACCAAATTTAGTGGTCGCTTCTCCAGGTTTGCATGTTTTAAAATGTAGAATCCATTACTATTATTAATTTTTTCAATAGATGGAGTTTTAAAAGTTATTCTCTCTTTGTACATGGAAAATATGGACCTTCCATTGCCACTATATGAAGAAATCCTTATTTGTAATGATAATACAACAATTGAAGAAATTCATCTTTTATTTCAAAGAGCTTTGGGGGACCCTAATCACTTTAGAATATTCTGTTTAGCACATGCTGAACTATTATCTTACCAAGTCTGTGATGAAGCACTAAAATTATTATTTCAATGTACTCAAGGAAAAAATGGTAAATAAAATCTGAGTGTCTAATATAGATCTATTTTGTTTTTAGACTATAAATTAGTTATTGTATGCACTAATAAAAATTTGGATAAATCGCACATAGTTTCAAGGCTTCAAATTTACAATCGACCTTACGGTAATGTCATATACACAGATGAAATTTTTTCTCAATACTTGATGAATCATTTTGTTTGCCAGCCTGGAGTAAAAGTACAGGCATCTAACATTGACCCAGATAAGTAAGTGTTTGAGAAGCAAAAAAATCTAATGACTATTTTTTAGATCTTATGTAAGATTGGTAACTTCAGAAAGACCAGGAATGGGTAAAACATTATGCATTAAGAAAATGATACAAAGAAACTGGTTACAACATGCTGTCCTGCCAATACATGGACCAAATGTTACTAATGATGACATTTTCAAAGGATTATTTAGCGTTAATCAAAATAAAATTGAAGCCACAATATTTCATATTGATATTTCAGCCAATGTGAGTATAAATTAATTACTTCTTTATTCACAGCAGAAATCATTGGTAATAATGTATAGGTTTTAAGAGAACTTGATTCTATACTTTTTTCTCTACTTATTCTTCGAGCTTTCAAGGACAGTCGAGGTAGAGTATGGAGGTGTCATCAAGTTTACTATTATATACTTGAAGCTACCATATTGAAGGTATGAATATTACATAATTTTTTGCTGATGCCTTTTGTTGTAGGATCAAAGGCCCTTTCTGTTAAGTACTATTGCTCTGCTTGATTTGCTGCCAAAAATAACATGCATGTCACCAAAATGTGTTCTAAATATGCTAGAAAATGATAAAAGAGGTATATGTAATGTTAGCCATCATCAGAAAAGTTTCATCATAAATCTAGATTCTGTTCGAGAAATCGTAAATATTGATGAGATTAAATCAGAAAAGTTTAAATTTGTTCATAATTACTTAGTGAAAATAGATAAGTCTAAATCCTCTGATAGTGATAAACAAAAGGTAGTTCAAGTCAGACGTTTGCAAGTATTGTTAAAGTAAGTTAGATCTAAATTAATTTAAATTAATATTAATTTTACATATATATTTTTGTATACTGTATAGCGGGATTTATTGATGAGTAAAAAATTTGACGAAAACAGTAAATTTCCCCAGTTGGCGATTTTTAATTTGACGAATAGTGTCCTTCACGTACACGTGGTACAAAAGTACAAAATTTTTGACAGTTTTAAAATTTGCCGTTTTATTTTAAATCGTCAACTCATCAAAATAAAACCTTCATCAATAAATTTCGCTATACGGTAGATATTGTGGAGTGAAGGATCCATCTTGGTCTGAATTAAATCACTTCGTAACTTTTTTGAGCATGCAGTTGAAACCATGTGAAGAATCAGTATTTTGCAATACAAAATTAGCTGGAAATATTTTTTCTGGATTAAAGACATTTTCAGTGAAGTTTATGATAAGAATGTCCAAAGTATTTTTTTCCCTTATCTCACATCTAGTTTAATGTAAATTGATAGGACTTTGCTACTTCTTCTTTAAAAGGAGAAGTTGATATTGAAAATCAAGGCTCAGCTGCATATGATAAAATAAGAAATTTCCAAATTGATGACAGTAAAGTATGGGAGAGGAAGTAAGTGTAGCTGTCATTGTAATATTAATTAAAATTTTATTTTCCTTTCAAGTAATCATTCATACCTCTTTTTCAATAAGGATGGGCACAGTATTACTTTTGTTGGATTTAATGTCAGTAGTAATGGCGATCTACTGGATCCTGTAACAAAAAAAGTCATTGAACCCAAGATAATGACACCTCAGCTATATGAAGGTCTAACAAGAAATGGGGTGGACTTCTCCAAAAATTATGATAATTGGATTCAAAAACTTGCAGCAGTAATGGGATTAGAAGGACACATTGACCCTGACCCAACTTATGTTCTTACTATTGATAATGTTATAAAAATGATGGCAATTTATATGAAATTCAGGTAATCATACCCTCCATACACCAGGCAACATGTTGCTAGCAACATTTGTGGTTACCGTACAGCAGGAAATATTTGCGGGGAATTAAATTTTGCGAGTTTGCGATTCCATTTAAAGCGCAAAATTTAAATCTGCAAAATAATGAAATTCATGCATGACCACAGTAGATAATGCTACAATAACTGTCAAAACCGCAAATATTTAATCCGCAAATCAGGTTATTTTTAAGGATTTGCAAAATTTTTCTCCACAAAATTAACCAGCTGTACGGTATTATAATCTTTCGAGCAACTTCTTGCAAAAATAGAACTGATTTTTATTTTTAGCAACACGTTGATTACAAGTCAAAGTAACCACAAATGTTGCTAACAACATGTTGCCTAGGGTATGGAGGGCTTAAGCTATAAATATAGTTAATAAGATGCAAATCATTTACAGCATAATAGCCATATTGATTTATTTTTAAACATCATAGGTGTAATATACCTGTCATACTAATGGGAGAAACAGGCTGTGGAAAGACAAGACTAATTAGATACATGTGTGATCTAATTGCTCAAAATTATAGCAAAAGAACAAAAAATGTAAAAAATATGCTTATAATGAAGGTAATTTGTAGCTATTACAAAATAATAAGATATCCATACTAGATGCATGGAGGAATTTCAAAAGCTGATGTTGCTAAGCAAGTCATGGAAGCTGAAGAACTTGCAAAGACAAATATAAATCTTGATACAATATTGTTTTTTGATGAAGCTAACACAAGTGATGCAGTTGGGTTAATTAAAGAAGTAATGTGTGATAGACGTGTGAATGGAAGACCTATTAAAAATGATGTTAAATTTATTGCTGCCTGTAACCCATACAGAAAGTTAGAGTGTGCATAAATAGACCTACTAACATCATGTTTTTATTAGGCATAATGAAGAAATGATCTATAAACTGGAATCAGCTGGCTTAGGCTTTTATGTAAAGGCCAATGAAACCAGTCAAAAACTGGGTACATGCTTTTTGCATTTAAAAATAATTAGTTTCATTGTACAGGTAACATCCCACTGAGACAACTGGTGTATAGAGTCTTAGATTTACCTCCTAGTATGAGACCATTTGTATATGATTTTGGGCAGTTAAGCATTGAAAATGAGGAAAAATATATAGAGCAGATTGTTTCAGAACAATGTCAAGAAATACCTCAAGTTAAAGGAAAATTTGTGAAGTCTATAACTAATGTTGTGGCTTGGTCTCAGCAATATATGAAAGGAAAAAAAGTAAAAGATATTTACTGATACTTTATTATTATAATAATTCATAAATTCTTATTAGGATGAATGTAGCTTTGTAAGTTTAAGAGATGTTCATCGGGCAATGCTAGTTTTTAAATACTTTGTTCAAAAAAGCACTCTTTTTTATAGTAAAGTTGATGAAAAGGCTAGAGCTGAGGTAGATCTACCTTCACAATTGTGCTTGTATTTATAAAATTACTTTCTATTTATAGGGAAAGCAACCACTTGACTGCATTACTCGTTCCCTTGTACTAGCAGTAAGTGTCTGCTATCTTTCTAAACTGCAGGACAGAATGAAATATGAAACTGGCGTTATTCGTCAATTTACTGATCCACTAAAACTTGGAGGAAAAAAGCAATTTTTTAATGAGATCAAATGGTATTGTTTAAGCTAGAATTTAGTCAATAATTTTAATTTTTGATAGGTGTCAGGATGTGTTGCTTGATAATATGAAGTTGGGTCCAAACATTGCTAGAAATGCTGCATTGAAAGAGAATATTTTTATGATGGTTATTTGTATCGAGTTGAGGATTCCTTTGTTTCTTATTGGTAAACCCGGCAGTTCAAAATCCCTTGCAAAGTCTATCATTGCTTCATCAATGCTGGGAAAATCTTCTGAAAGTGACTTAATGAGAGAAATGAAAGAGGTGCTGATAATTATTTTAAAGAAATACTTTAATTTTTTGCATTAGATCCAACTTTTTTCCTACCAGTGTAGTCAGTTGTCAACTTCAGAAAGTGTTGTTGAAGTATTTAATGCTGCAAAAAGTTTTCAAAACAAACAAGATGTAAATAATTTTGTATCCATTGTAGTACTGGATGAAGTTGGTTTAGCTGAAGATTCTCCTAATCTTCCATTAAAAACTCTCCACCCACTACTTGAAGATGGAACAGAAGGAGCTAATGGCTTAGGGCAGGTATATAGTTACACATAGATGAGTCATGATTGACTTAATTTGACAGGTCATAGCACATGAGCAACGTGCTGCTTTTATTGGTATATCAAACTGGGCTCTAGATCCTGCTAAAATGAACAGAGGTGTCATGGTAACTAGAGGAGATCCTGATGAAGCAGAACTGGAGCTCACTGCAAGGTTGAATATGATCTAATTTGCATGCTGCTATGCTATTCTATTTTTATAATACATAGAGGAATATGCTCAAATTCCCCTAATGATCCTGTGAGGGACAGATTAAATCCTTACTTCAAACCTCTATCTGCAGCTTACAAAGAAATTTGTGATGAACAAGAGAAAAATGGAAGATTATTTTTTGGTCTTAGAGATTTCTACAGGTTTATATTCTGTAAAATAGACTATAATGATGTTAACACGTTTGTAGTCTTATAAAAATGTTGTACTGGATGTGCAAGCACACAGGAATGCAATTAACTGGCCCTCAATTACAGCATGCTATTAAAAGAAACTTTGGAGGACTTGATCTTAAAGAAGTTGACATTGAAAAAATATTTAAAAATCACATAAAAGAATTGGAACATGTACCTGATTTAAATCATATAAAAGATGAAGAGGTAGACTGTTACTGAATGTCATTATGAAATTATGAAACCTACATTCTATAATAGCTGTACAAGTTTCTTATTCCTGATTGCTCTCCTCTTGGTTTGATTAGAAGCAGCTTACAAACTAAAGATAAATCTTGGCATGGGTAAGATAATGGTTATTTTATTTCTTACTAATGAACATGTAGTGAAAACCGCTACTTGCTGTTCTTGACTGAAAACTATGCAGCTCTACAGGTTCTAAAGCACTATCTTTATAAAGAAGTAGGAATACAACAAGATAGCAATGCAACTGGGAGTGATGATTCAGAAACCAACCAGCAGGCCCTACACCAAACAGAACCTTTCTTTCTCTTTGGTAGTTCATTTCCCAAGGATAGAGAGTTTACACAAGTGTGTCGTAATATTAATAAGATTAAGATTTGTATGGAAACTGGCCGTACTGTGATTCTTTTGAATCTGGATAACTTATATGAAAGTTTATATGACTTATTAAACCAATATTATATACATTTTGGCAGCCAAAAGTATGTTGATCTTGGATTGCAGACTCACAGAGTGAAATGTCGTGTTCACAATGATTTCAAGTACAGACAGAAATATTTCCACTCAGGTCTTGATCTAATCCTTTTTTAGATTAATTTTGGTAGCAGAAAAAAGGACTGTATACAAAAAATTTCCTATTCCGCTTATCAATAGACTTGAGAAGCACTTTGTACTAGCAGAAACTGTTCTATTAGATTGGCAAAAAGAAGTTTTCAGAGAACTCATAAACTGGATTGGGGACTTTATTAATGTCCAAAATAAAAATGAGTAGGTCTAAGTATTTTTATTTTTTGTGATTGATTGACTCATATCACATAGGTTTTCTGTTGAAGATGCTTTTGTAGGATACAAAAATGATACTCCAGCTTCAGTAGTGTTTCAAGCAACTCAGCAATTACAGCAAAGTTGGGGATGGCCTGAGCAGAGGCATGACTCTGAAGAATGGAAGAAAGCTGTACTTGCACGTAGCAAGAAGATTCTATTACAAATGGCTTCACCAGATGCTCTAATTCGATTAAAGTTTACCAATTTAAATGAAAAGAGAGACAAATTGCTCAAGATTTATTACTCAGATCAGCATCACAGAAATATAATAGAATTGTTAAATAACAATATCAAGAAAAATCAAAAAGGTGGTAGATCTATTGGTCTCATGATGCAAGTATGCTGCTAATTTTTTTTAATGATTAAAAATAATTTTTTCCAGATAACTACACACTGTCATCTTCTGTCTAGTCTGGAAATAGAAGACTTGTCTCATAATCTTGGCAAAGAAATTAATTGTTTTTTATTACAAGAATTTGACACAGAAATTGATTTCACTTCTAAAATTAGGTTAGTAAACTTATGAAAAATAAGTTACACTATTGGCTCTATATAGGCCACTTTTTTCTAAGGACAAAGAGACTTTGTTGATTATTCAGTGTGATTCAGGCCACATATATGGTGATTTGATTGCTTACGCTCGATATCGTATTGAAGATGAAAAGCAAAAAATTACATTAAAGCAAAACCCTATTCATGTTCTATTTATAATAAATCTTCCACATCAAGCTGAAAAAGAGCGTAGTTCATCTTTTGTTAGGTTTCATGATGGTGTTTGGGTCTCTGTTCATATTGATAATATTAGAATTTCATCTGAATCAGATCTTACACTAGAAGATGCTCAAAGTACTCCAATCAGCCAGCTCTTTTACAGTGAACCTAAGGTTGTCAGTGATACCTGCGAAACCCAGCCACCACAAGAAAAAGATGAGGTTACAGTGCTACTATTTATATTGTATTCAAATTTTATTATTAGATGGATAATGATGTCATGGAAGAAGTTAATCCTCCCATAGCTAAAGTTAAAAAAAATCATTGTCAGTGCCTTCGTCTTTATTACTGTATTCAAACGGCTCTAGCTAAGCTGACAGAAAATTATGAGGAATATGAACAGTCCATAATTTCAAGAGTAAAAATACTCTCAAGTATTATCCCACAAAAACCTGATTTTCCTCTAGGTAAGGCAAAATTATCTACTACAGTTATGTATATGCATGTTTTAATCGATGATAACAGATTTTACTACATTTTACGGAGCACTAGTAAAGCACATAAAAATTTTGCTGCAACAAAGAGAATCTTATTTATTTGAGAAGGAATGGATACTAGATGAAGCAATAAATACTAAAAAACTACAAGATGGTGGAACATTTCAAAATTCTCTTATTAGAAGGATTGATGAAGTCATTGTACCACTGTTTTCTCATATTATTTTTTTCATTGATCAGTATGCTAATTTAAGCTTCTTGAAAGAAGAAAGGTAATTAGCATTAAAATTGCAATCAAAACAAACATCAAATTTTTAGGAACAAAGATTACCTACAACAACTTTGGCTATTAATTTTTAGCAATCAGGATTTAGTTCATTTTAACTATCAAAACTATGTATTAAATGGACATACTGTTAATCAAGATCCTCTAGCATCAGAATTAAAGTTTGATTGTCAATTTCCTTTCTTTTGGCTATTTAAAAATGCATTTATTTCAATGCTGGAAATTGTTCCAGGTAATTATGATTGATAGTAACTTGAAAAAATATTTCAATTAAACTTTTTATAGGAAATAAGCGAAATGTAATTCATGACTACTTGTGTAATGCTTTATCTGACAGTGCTATAGCTATCATTTTAAACAAAGTACCAGAGGAATATTTGAAACATCTAAGTAAACGGTATCTTGGAGACATAATCAGAAGTACTCATCACATAACTCATCATTTACCAAAAAAAGAATATGAGGTTTGATAATTTCAAAATTTTTACATATTTTATGAAAATGCAGATACTCGAAGAAGCTCTTTATTCCATTATCAGTGGTCCAGGATTCAATCATAAGTCATTTCTTTCTTATTTAGCAGCAGTTCATGTTATTTATCATGAATATCGACAAGAAATAATGTGGCTTGGTCAATTGACTACACTCAAACCTGGAATATTATGCCAAGTGCCTCAAATAGGTTAAATGGAAACTACCCATTAAAAATCAGAATACTGAGGGTTTTATAAATTATAATTATCTTTTTAGGACATAATCAAGAGCATTTTGAGCTTCCATTGTTAATAGTTAAAAGTGCCATTGGTGTGGATGGTTTGGCGCTTCCAATTGATGCCATAGGAAGATGCTATGTTCCTGATCGATTATTAAAACTTCAACAATGTCAAAATATAATTGATGCTATTTTGAACCTTGCATCATATCATGAACTAGCTCATGACATAAGGTAAAATGTAGATTTAAGTAACAAGCATAATGACTGCTTCTTTTATAGGCTTGAATGGCAAAGAGTGAGAGTAGTTCAACTATTCATAGAACATGTAGCAATGAAATGTTCAGTAAATGATGAACAATTTACTAAGTTTGTTCAATATGCAAAAAGAATTGATAGAGTGAGTTTTCAATTATTAGCTAATAATTTTATTTAATGTTGCTTGTACAAGATGATTGAAAAACAAAAAGATTTTACTAAAAAAAAAACACTTCTGAAAATACAAGAAGGCCTGAAACTTTTGGAAAAAAATTCTGAGTAGGTCATATTGCTTCTGCACATCTTATATTTGTTATTAGACATAAAATGCAGAAACAGATCTGTCATTGCTCTAATTCTTTTTTCATGGAAGTTGTGTCCTCTTTGTGTTTTGGCCAACCTAGTCCTCCCGAAACAGAACTTATTCAAGAATTGTTAAATATTGTGCTCGCCAAAGAAGAAAAGATGACCAAAGAGTTCAGTTTTTCTGGAAAAATTACAGACAAAATTCCTGTACTGCGTTCATTTTTGTTACAACTCTTGCTGGAACACAGGTGAATTTGTGTATAAATAGATTATGATTTTATGCATAAATTTAGCACTGAAATGGTTAAGATTCATTTGAAGGAATATTTTTCCAGAGCACAGCAACTTTTTCAAAATGATAGCAATTTTTACTTATTATATATTCAGTGTTTAGAGGTATGCTGTATATGAAAAGAGTTGTTACAATAACAAAATACTTTAGGATGCCATTTACAAGAAGCACAATCAGATGTCATTAGCAGATAAAATTGAACAATGTGTCAAAATTTTTAGTGATGGAAAGATATTAAGAAAGCATGCTGTTCCTTCAGGCTATGAAAATGAGATCACTTTAGAATTTTTGGAAGAAGTGGCTACTTTAAGATATTCCTTTACTATTGTAGCTGAATTAATATATTATCAGCATCATCATGAAAAAAGGAGCCAAACAAATGCATTGCATCAACTTTTGGACATGATTAAAAAATTTTGCTTTAATGCTACTGATGTTTATGGTTCCAGCATTTTTCTAGCAAAACTTTTAGTAAGAAATTATGGTTTCTCTTTCCTTTACAACTTGACTGAAGATCACAACATGCAGTGGGTTATACCTAAAACTTTACAAGTAATTTTAATTTTAAAATGAAAAAATAATAGTTAACATTATATTTTAGGGTCAAGGTTGCAAAAATAGTGATCCATTCATCATTTATAAAGGATATTCTCAATTCAAAGCAGTACTTCTTGATGTAAAATATAGAAATCAGTTTACTGAATTGGAGATGCATATTAAAGTGAGGAAAACTGATAGAAATTAACTTTTTTATGTCTCCTTTCATAGCATCTTCAAAGTAGCGACATAAACTTACTGCTTTTTGGAATATATGAAGTTGTGACTGGAAGTGCAGCATTCAAAGTAGACAAAGATTGTGATGGTAACAATGTAAGATTTAATATTTTAATGGATCTATAATATATATATATTATCAATATTTTATTGCAGGATGAAGCTATAACAAAAATATTAACAGCAGTTAGAAATTGTAAAAAAATCAATAAAGAAGTATGATTTTGAAGTCTTGTGCATAGTATTCATACTTTATATAGCTAATAGCGGTGGCTCAAGACCTATTAAGTAATTCATACTGTGGGAGACTAGAGCATATGGTCATTAGACCAGGAATGAACCCACAGAATAGATTACTGACTGATCTAGTTGTGCATGTTGCTGTTGTAATGCAGCATAATAGCTTATCAAAAATATTAGGTCCATTTATTCAAATGATTAATGATCCTGAAAAACTTAAGGTTTGTTATATAGTTGAATCATCGATTTCAGCTACTTTTGTAGGCAACCTACTTACCTACAATGCCTGAAGATTCACTTCCCTATGTCAGAGCTGCTATGAGTGAGCATTCAGGCAAATTCTATAGTAATAAAATTTCTGATCCAATGTAATTTTACTAAATGATTTCACAGAATGTCAGAATGGTCATCCATACTTCATAGGTGATGTACGTAGAAACTTTTTAAAATTATCATTATTATTACAATGATTTTAGTGTGGTAGACCATGGACAAGGAGTACTTGCCCTGTGTGCCAGTCACCAATTGGTGGTCAGTTGCACAAAGCTGATAAGGGGAATGAGCTGGCAAAAACGTGAGTCAATTGCAATGCTATGTAGGCTTATCTCCTAGGTATATGATTGCTGTTATATCTAGTAATGATAAAACTGAAACTGGATATGCTCTTGGTCAACCAAATCAAAGAGAAGCAATCCCATCAGCTGAAAGATCTCTATCACCTTCAGCTTGTGCCATTATGAGAGCATTAATGCATTGCTCTTTATTATGGATCTCATGCACAAAAGAAGTATAATTAGTTATTAAAATGATAATATTTTCATCCTTAATTCAGGATAAAATTCAAGGTCTTTTGAATATAATCAAAACAGATGTTAAACCAAGAGAAGTATCATCATTTTTTTGGCAACATTTGCAGCATGACATTAACATGTTGAGTACAGCTATAGGAAAGAGCCAAGATGATGCATGCCTTTTGGTGCATCTCATTTTAGAACAAATCAACAGTAAAAATGATGGTTAGTATCTATAATGAAAAATTCCCTGCTTTGAATATGAGTATATGTAGTTAAATGTACTATAACTAAGCTTGAGACTAAAGAGAAAAGACAAAAATGGGAAAAAAGCTTTTCTGAGTCATTCATTCATCCAGTTTTAATAGTAGGTGACAAATAATAAAAAGATTTTTTTAATTGTGGAATTAACAGAATTTAGATGCAAAATTGAATGAGGCTGTGACATTACAACTAAATGACAAAAGCATAGGTAGGGAAAGACTGATTTTTTTCATGGCTTTTAACTACATGGTTTTAGAAAATGATCAACTTTTATATGCTGTATATGAAAAGATGAAAATATATCCAACAGAAATTACACCTCATTTGTGGAGTTATAGACCATACATCACACTCGAAAATTTGCTGCAGCTATTGCAAACACAGAAAGAAATTTGTCCAATATTACATGAGTTTTTAGTACAGGTAGGACAATTTGTTCCATTTTAAGACAATTTATTGGCCTGTAGGAACCACTTTTAAGAGCTACTCAATATCTTCCTAATATTTTGAAATTGCAGCATGAAATGTACCAGTTATGTCACAGGAAGTATGACAAAAAGGAAATTGCAGCATTGACAATTGGAAGCTACATTGCAATTTTAAGGAACAGAGATAGTTCGCCAAAACTTGTTGCAGACTTTAATAAGAAGTTGAATTCCTTAAGAAAAGTTTGGACATTGGTCAAGGGAAAACTTAAGGACTATGGTAAAATTATTTCAAAACTATTATAGCATAAATGCATTTTTTAACTTTTAGCTCGTGTTATGGTTGATCCAAACCTTATTGAAATTGTTACTTGGGATGAGAGTACTCCTCTAACTTGTCTTATACCTACTTTAACTGGACAAGGAGCTTGCACTACAGCACTAGTGGATCTAATGGTCAGAGTACACAATGAATTCATAGAAAAATGTCATAAGGAGCTGACAAAAAAAGAGTAAGCTTAACTACTTCTAATGAGTTTATATTTATTCATCTTTGTTATACAGTATTTATTGGAGGAAGTACAAGGTCCCTGTTAGTCATGTTCAGTGTTGTCATCTACTGGACTATGAGAAGCAATTAACTTCAATCGTTCTTTCACACTGCCAATACTCTCTTGAATTTGGAAAAGGACAAAAAATTAATTATGATCTTCCAGCACTAGAAAAGCACCTTGTGGATCGTTTTATACATGGGAAACCCTATATACAATTGGAACTACTTCAAGTTATGTACAGAAAAGAAGTTTATAATGCTGAAACTTTCCATCAGTTAAGAAAGAATGTACAGCCACAGGTATAGACTATTCAATGCATAAAATGCATAAACACTTGTTTTTATAGATAAAATTAACTGAAAAGCAGCAGAATGACATAATAAAGGAACTACAAAGCATCAACCATTTAAGAGAATGTCTTGATGTTGTTGAGATTGTAATTGGCTTCCTTTCCTCACAAAAGAATAGTGCAAAAACTAAACTGAGATCTTACATTAGTGGAGTAGATCTAATGAGAATGAAGAAAAAATTTAGTGAAAAAGTAATTTTTATAAGGATTAACAATACCTCTTCATATTCTACTTATAGGCACTAGAATATTGTACATTAGGTCACATCTTATCATTGTGGGAAATAATCTCAGTAGAAATAGCTAAACGTCATACACTTCGAAAACAAGTAAATTTAATAATTATTATTTTAAAACTTGTTGTTTCCTAATATTTGTAGGAACCATTTGATGATCTTAGTGATGTATTACTGACTAATCTCCAAGATGATCAAATAAAGGAGTTGGAGTCTTATTTGAAAGGAATAGAACTAGCACCTTTCCTGAATTTTTTTTATGAGTTTATTGAAACAGTTGTACGTCATTCAGAAGCTCAAAACACCACAGAATGGCCGTAAGTATAATGTCTATATTTTGCTACATCTTACCATTAATATTTTAGGTTGAAGGATACTTTGTATGCACGATTAGAGCAAATTGAATTAGATGGCATGCTTCCTCATAACTTCACAGATAAATTTCCAGCTTCTATTACTGTGAGGCAGTCTGTGGCAACATGGAAGACCATTGTATTTTATCAGCATAGATCTATGCATCTTATTTAAGTTTAGTTGTAGTTAAATCTAACATGATTGTAGTTAAAGTAGATTAGTCTAAGAGATTCTATACATTTAGTATTTTTGTTTGCATAGTATATAACTGAGCAGGCATATTTAAATGCTGTCAATAGATTTATCTTAGTTTAACTTTTATAGTATGGTTGATTATTTCTTTTAAAAAGTAGTCTTCATTAACAATATGCATATAAAACAAATCTGCAATTCCTTTAGCAAAAATTAGGATTAATTAGATCTTTAGCTTCATAGCTAGATCGCGAGAACATAATTTTTTAATTTTTACCAGAGATTTAAATCTATATCTCTCTGGTCTGGTGTAACCTAAAGGCTGCTTAATGTTTGGTGCTATTTTGCTGTGTAGCAACTGTTTCACCATTAACATAAGGATACATGTCATACAACTGATATTTTCATTTATACCCAAGGTGGAAAAAGAAACAATCAGAGAAGGATAAATCTGTATATCATTGACTTCAGTTCTTACAAACTTAGCATGTCCCCAGAACTATGATGTGCAGAGGAGCCATAACAGCAAGCTTTGCATAGATTGCAGTAATGCCATAAACTTTCGGAGAAAACAAGAAGAGGAGCAAAGAGTGAAAACCTATCATGTAGAGGAATAATTATAGGCCCATGGGGTTCAATATTCACTAGTAAACTAAAAATAAGAACCATTCCCTTTATTACTCGTATTGTTGGTACTGCTTAGTAAAAACATAATACACAAATAATTAATGATAACAGAGAGACAGAGTAAGAGAATCAGTGAAGGGTTGAGGTTGATATACATCTAGCATAACATTTGTGACATGGACATTTAAAACGGAAGAATGGCCTTGTAGTCAGTAGACTACAAGGCCAGGAAGGATCAAAGTTGGCTTCAAATTAGTTCCAAAAATCTGGCTTGAGACTTCAAAAGACTACTGACCAAAACAAATTATCTCCCCTTGATTTCTCCCTCTGTTATAACAGAGGGAGAAATCAAGAGGAGGTAATTTGTTTTGGTCAGTAGTCAGTAGAAATAGAAGAACTTTGTAGTGTCATTCGGAGTGTAGTGGTGTTACAGTTTACCATGGAATACTGATTTTGTAGTTTTACTGTTAGAGCAAAAAGGACACGATCGAGAATAATGAGTTGGGTGATGAAGATTTCAGAAAACAGGATTTCACCAAACTCAATACATCAATGGGAAACGAGACTTAAAATTGGAAGTGCAATCATTTAAAATAAAATTAGTGGATCGATACTGCACTTTCTATGACAGAAGCATATCTTTGATATAACGAGATGCCAAATAGGTGAACGGGATGGTTTAAAATGTACAAATGCTCCCTGCAACAGTAGTTGTATGACAGAAACAAAAAAATTACACAAGCTTTTAAAAAAGTAATAAAGTTTGAGTTGGAAACATTTTTATTAGTTTATTTAATAAACTAATAACAAAATGTTCCCAAACAAATCAAACTCAATATTCCAGATCTAAATTCTAATAATAATAGCGACACGAGCCACACCCCTAATCCGGCTAAATTAAATATCCGCGTGTTTTTCCTTCGTGGTAATAAAAACTATCTATGTAAAAAGATACTGTCCTTACCTTAGTCCTTATCTATGGTCCTTGTCCGTGGTCAGTTAGTGTAGCAATTTGTTGTTAGGCTATTCATCAAAGAGAGAAGGCAGTGAAGTTTATCCCTCGATGGCAACGACAAAAACACGAAGTAGAGCTAAACTGACATAGCACTGTAAATTTTATCGTCATTCATTTTGCAGGCAGAAGAGGAGGGATTAAGATTGAAGCCCCACCAATAACAAAACACATATCCAGAACACTAGATAGGTATCCTGATGGAGGCCAGATACTCAAAGTGAGTTACAAACAGTTAGGGGTTGGGTCAATGTCTTTTTATAGTTACATGCATGTCGACACATTCAGTGTAGTAAAAGATTTCAAAGCGAATCCCACCACTTGCCTTTTAGAGAAATTATTTTAAATTTTATGGCTCTAATTTTGATAAGTTGAAAACTTATGTTACGCTGAGTTTTGGTAAATAAATTTCTGCTTGACTTTTGCTAATTTGTGGCCCAGATCAAATTTATATTGGCGTTTAGTGTTTGTTTCACAAAGGCAGACATTTAAACTGTTCTGCTTACAAGGAAAAAAAGGCATTGTAAAAGTAAACATGATTATTATTGTTTTTATTAAATGGTTTTTGTTCTGTTTCCCTTTTTACAGGAGCTCATTCAAAACGCTGATGATGCAGGTGCTACAGTTCGCAAGTTTTGTTTAGACACAAAGCAGTATCCAGAAAATGATTTGATGTTTCCAACACTAAACCTCTTCCAAGGGCCAGCACTGCTAGCATATAATAATGCTATATTTCAGGAGGAAGACTGGGAACACTTTGGTAGAATTGAGAATAGTGGGAAGGAGACAGCTGCCCTGAAAGTTGGTCGGTTTGGTGTAGGATTCCTCTCTGTATTCCATATTACTGGTAAGGCCCTTACAAACTGATAGTTATGGCTAATGTAGTAAACTATAGTTTATTGTGAAATGTCTGTAAGCTTGTATAGTAACACCTCCAAATACCAGTCCATTTTTAGTGTCAATGGTATGTATAGTAAGTACTAATTGTTGATATAGTGCTTAACCATTGTTATTATTGAAGATATTACTTGTGAAGCAGATGAAGTAGGAAAGAGCAAAGCCCTTTCATGCCGTTTATCATGTACAATACTTGTAGTCTGTCCTCCCAATTCTCCTGGCAGCTGTTTGTTATGATACACTAGAAATTTACCTACACAAGAAAACACTAGACTTTGAGGCGCTAACTATGCCTTGTCTGTTGCTACAAGCATATGTTTATAATAATGTGTCAGAATTTTTTGCCTTTCTGTGAAGTTGTTTGTTACAAGTATGGTATTGAGACTTTGAGGTTTTTGATATTCTAGTCCCTCATGTTTTTGTATTAACTAGGTGCAGGTGTTTGTTATTGTACCAGGAATTATCATGCTAGACTTTAAGGCGCCTAATTTTTTCTACATGTATCTACAATGTGCGTATACAAGTACATGTACTTTTTATAACATAATGTACTGTACACATTGCAGAGCCTTTAGCACCAGGCATAGTTAATATTTATGTGATTTGAATCTATTGCCATTACCATGAACTCTTGCCATTACAGATTAAATGATGATATATCTTCCTAAACTTATAGCTGCATAATAAAAGTATTACTACAATTGCTTTTCTTCTAATTTTCAGATACGCAAAAACTAAAAGCCCCATGTTTTGAATTAGCATGTAGCAGACAAAAATTGTAACAAGCTTTTAATAGACCTTCCTTATGTACATGTAGCTTGTATTGTATGTACATGTAAGAACTACATTTACATGTATATGAAAAAGATATCATTTTTTATCATAATGTACATATAATAATATCAGGGTTACATGTACAGTATACACTAATACATGTACATGTGCACTTATATACATGTACAGTGGAATCTGTGCTAACAGTCACCTGAGTAGTAAGGCCACCTCTCTATTACAGCCATAAGCCAAAATCCCAATCGAGATCTGTACAAAAGGCTAAGCTATTGACTTGTCTAATGCGTCCCTGTATAATGCGTAAAGCGGCCACTTGTCCAAGTCCCCTGTGATCTGATAGAACCTTGCTACTCCGGCCAACCGGAAACCACACCCTTTATTAATTATTGTTGAGTTTATTATTCTATTCAGTTTAATAATAAATTAATTTATGATGTATCAATCAATTCAATTAACTTTCTTGACCTGTATAAACAGGCCATTCCATTACAGAATGGTCAATGGCTGTATTACAGAGGCGGACCTGTAATGCAGCCACCTGCATAATCAGGCCATTTAAAACTGGCCCAAGGGTGACCGGATTAAGCAGGTCCCACTGTACATTTGTTTAACTACTAGAAGATTGTAAAACATTTAAGGTGCTTAGCCCCTCATGCAACGTTATTCTTGTGTTGTATGACCTTTCTTGCTGCTAGAGAACTTTTTGGATAGCAGTTTAGTCTTATCTTACAGACTGTTTGCTAAAGACAAACACAGACATGCTGTATGGTGGCCACACCCGCTTTCAATGAAGATTATAGGTTATTTAGCTTTAATAATAGTTAGACGGTCATCCTACGGTCGGTCAGACTCACATTATCACAGTGTGCTTTGCTAGAGCCAGGCAAATTATGCTGCCATAATTTGGAGCATAATAGGGCAAGTTATTATGCTGACATAGTGGGAACATAATGGGCCCAAATTTCTGTCTGTATGCCCCTGAACACACAATTTAAATTCAATATGGTAGGTGGTACAAGTACTAGAACAACAACCCAACTGCTTAGTACCCAAGCATGGTGAGTCCAACGACTTAGGTTGTTCTATTTTGCAGTAATTTAAAGTCACTGAAAACTTTTCAGATTCTGGCATTTTAGTGACAATATTACAATTATAACAGATGCATGTTCATGTAATTATAATTGATATTTATAAAGCATAATAATGAGCATAATTGCATTTATTTTAAAGCAAAATAGGATAGAATTTGGGGTAGTGCCTGAAAACAAAATAGGCAAAAATTGAAGCATAATTTTTCTGGATTTGCCCAATAGGCTATGAATATTATTTTTGTTGTGTTATTACTGCAGATTTTGACTTGTAGAATGAGTATATATTTCCTATTTTTTAAATTGACTTTTGGCCTGTCCACTTATGTTATCAGCTTCAACAACAAGGTCAACAGGTCAAGTACATATTGTCACTTCATATTTAATGAAATAATATACAAGCAATCGGATATGACTTTTATATGCATGTATGTTTTTACCACAGGTAGTAATATTTTAAGTTTATTATTTCTTAAAACTAAAAAGCACAATATCTAGCTAAAAGTATTCAAATTTTCCACTTCAGCCGTTCATGCATGTACATATCAGAATGTTTACAAAGAGGTAATGCTATAGCATCATAAATTCAATCAGCATCAAACTTGAATGACTCAGCATCACACTTTTAATGTAAATAATGATAATCCAGTTCAAATGCAATATTGCATACTCTTTAAAGTCTAAAAAATTTTGGTGACTGAAGTTCATGCAAGTCACGAATTTGGATAGGAAATCAAAAACTGCTTGAACATGTATGATAGCTCATAGCTTGAATGATGCTTTGAATTATGCTCAAAGCACAAAATATTCAAACTAGACTTTCTCCGCATCATAATTTACTTTTATAATATGTACCATATTTCCTTAAATGAAAACCCAGGCATCTATTTCTTAAAATGACTTTTGGACCTCGAGAAAAATTTAAAAATAAAATGAAACTTATGTCAACAGTGGGATTTGAACCGGGTACCCTCACACAAGTGACATTAGAAAGCTTAAGGAAGTATCTACAAGGCATCTACACTTAGTGAAGGCTAGATTTGTGTATTTATAGTTCCATTTTATTGCCAACCCGGCATTTATTTGTACCCAGCTTTTATTTGAGGATATGTTGTACATGTATACATTATCATGTAGATAGTGCAATATACATGTACATGTACATATATCTAGAAGTAACCTTACTATGTGTATGTACCTGTGGTATGTACAATGATCAGCAGAAATAAATAAGAATACCATGTATGTACATGTAGGTTGCACTATTACATGAGAATGCCATAGATTGCATCTATTGTACGACAGTATGAATCATGAAACCAAATTAAGGCTTCAGCATAACTTCTATCTTGTCAGTTATTTTCAAAGCAAAAATTCCAGGCAATTTGTACAAAACATTTAGCTTGCCATATACATGTAGTTATTAAAGGTCTTTTACAGATCAATGTACGTGTAATGTACATGTATGTTTAAGAACATGTAAAATGTACAGCACATGTATCATAAAAATAAGAAAATAGAATGATTTCTCCTAGCCATTTTTAATGGAATACTATGTACTTGTTTAACATTACTTAATGTTAATTTATGATAGATCAATCATCAATGGTACAATAATAAGTCATTGTTATCTGTTATAGAGAAGTGACTCTTTTTGCAGCCATTCCATTGTATTATAATGGCATAGCTTCTGATATTGAAAGGCTTGGTTTAGTCAGGGTACAGCTGATTTAACATTACTCTGGCCTAATGGCCTTCTTATGAAGCAATGGGCCTCTGACTAGTGTGTTCCTCTCTTTTTGCTGCCAAAACTACATGTAGATATACAATGTGGCATCAGACTTTTCATGTACCCCTATTTTAATTTCTTTAGCTTTATCTGATTTTACTTGTCCCATATTAGTCATGAACTGAATGAGCTTCACTTCATTTCTTAATGTTGGAAATAGTTGCTCGTCTGGTGCCCTACTTCTCCTATGTTATTGTATATGAGGTGCCTTTTTAACCAACTTTATGGCATCTGTATTTTTTACTATGCTTTTTGGGGGCTTGAGTGCCATTTTAACTCTTTTATGATTTTACCACAATGTGTTAGCATCACGTGGTGTCTTTTCTGCACATGTGCTTATGCATGCTAACAAATTATCTCATTCAAATAAACGATTCTAATAATCACAATACATGTACATTAAATTTGAGGGTGTACTGTACTTTTACATGTATCACAGAAATTAAGTATTTGAAATTACATGTACATGTTTGTATCTCAATTTTACGTGACATTGGTGTTCTTTTTAGATCTTCCAATGGTTATCAGTACTGATACTGTAGCCATTCTCGATCCTCACAAACGGTTTGTTAAAGAAGACTATGAACCAGAATTAGCACACTTCCTTTCTCATTCTGGCCACGCCGCATGCTTTGATGGTGTATTTGGTCTTACTCCTTTAACAACATCCTACAATGCAACACTTTTTCGATTTCCTCTCCGTAAGACTAACTCACAGTCTGAAATAGTTCAAGGTGAGTATTCCCCTGATAGAGTCAAAGGATTTCTTTATAATTCTTTCATTAACGAGGCTCCAGTTATAATGCTCTTCCTTAAGTATGTTCAAGAGATTAGCTTGTATGATAATGATAAGCTTATTTATAAAGTATCCATTGATCAATCGCAAGTATCTGCAATAGAGCGTGAAAGACAAGCCCTGCTTAAACTCGCTGAGCGTACCTCTCTCTCTTGCTCACTCAGAGTTTACTCTATGAGTATCCAGACTCAAGACCAGAGGATGTCACATTATGAGCCACTCTCATGGTATCATTGGCTAGTAATTAATATGATTGGATCAAGTGATAAGAAGATTATCGCAATGAGTAAAGATCAGAATAACATTCCATGGGTAGGTGTAGCAGCTCCTTTACCACACCAGACCAATATTAATCTGTCATTGAGGAATTGTACTACAAGTGATATAGTTGCTTGTATTACAGAACTGAAGAAAGGAATACTTCATAGCCCTCTCTCTCTTCCGTGGTGTGATAGTGCTAGGGGACATCTTGATGGCCAGGTCTTTTGTTTTCTCCCTCTTCCTGGAACCACTAATCTCCCTGTTAATATTCATGGATATTTCTCTGTCAGTGATAACAGGCGCACTATAGAGTGGCCTGCTGCTGATAATAAGAGTGCCAAGGCATTATGGAATGAAGCTCTACTGAAGTCTCACATTGCTCCACTCTACTCAATCCTACTCGCTCTTAGATCTTCATTACTAAGATACGCTAACACTCCTCTTCCATTAGTAGAGTCTGAGAATAGCGACATTACTGATCCATATGCTGCATGGCCTCTATTTTCTAAAGTTAAATTTCACCATATCTGGAGGGACTTGGTTGCACCTACACTAGATGGAGTTGCTGGTCTTCCTATTCTCTGGACAGCAGCTGAAGGAGGCATATGGGTTAAACTCCAGGATGCATTTTATCTTCCTGCAGCTCCCACTTTTCCCATACCAAAAACGGTCATCGAGCTGTTAGTGAGAGTAAATGTTCCAATTGTTAGTTTGCCAACAGAAATACGAGAGACATTAACTGAATGTGGTCTCAGGGACATACTTAACCATAAAGTTTTGAGTCCAGCTTTGATTAGATATTTTCTGAAACAACTTTCTCAGGGGTCTCTAGGCCTCAATGATAAAGAGAAAGTTCAGGATGTGCTGGAGTGTATTCTTTATGATATTGATAACAGCAACTGCACTGAATTAGTTGGATTAAGTCTTTTGCCAGTTTATGAAAGGAAGTTTAAAACAGTTTATTTCAAAGAGACAATAAGATCCGAAAGTGAACGCCTGTACTTGGTTGATCAAAATGAAGCTTTGGAATTTCTTCCTAACATTGAGGGCTCTTTGGTGCATCAAGGCCTAAGAAGATCAATTTTTTCCAAGTTACATAGTTTAGCTAAGAGAAGAAACCTTCAACTTAGCCCTTTCACACCTGATGCTATAATATCTCATCTATTGCCATTGAGTATTCTTTCCTGGTACCCTAAGCTACACAAGAGCTCAAGTCCTGTACAATGGACACCAGGTCAAAATAATCATCCTCCTCAAGAATGGATTACTCATGTTTGGAATTGGCTCAACAGGAATTGCGCATCATTATCAGAGCTTGAGGGTCTGCCATTAATACCAACCATTAAGCTTAATAAGCATTTCAATAACATTTCTTTGTTATGTTTACCTAAGAGCAGTACTGGATCATTTTTCTTCAATAAAGAGGCAGATGATGATGAGATTCAATTAGCTGATCTTCTTCTGAAAATGAGAGCCACTGTTGTCAAGCACAATCAGTTTGTTTTCACTCATCAAGAAATTAAGAAGTACATATTTAAAATCAACATACAAACTGTCCTCCAATATATTGGAAAGATTGGTGTTCAAGCTACTTCGTCACTTTTGACCGAAAATGATAAAGTTCTTCTTCGCTCTTCAATCGTAAACTTTTACAAATCTCGTGGTATTTCATTTGCTGATTTGATAAAGAAGCTCCCAATATTTGAAGCAGGAGTTGGAGCGAATCCTAGACAATTAGTCAGCGTCAATCAAGGATACATTTTGCCTCATCCACGCATTGATTTTAAAGATGACCTCCATTATCCTCCAAATTTCTTTAACAATGCTGATTATGATGTATGCGTATTATTACAAAAACTAGGTTGCTCTGTGCTAGGACTAGATGATATACTTATTAAATGCGTTATGCCATTTGCATTGCAGCAGTGTAGGAACAGTCCTCATCGCTGGTGCAATGGTGATGAGCTCTTTCTTTTCATTCTTAATCATGTCAGAAGCTATGGTGCATTAAGTAACATAGCGTTTGTTCGTACACAAGCTGATATGAAGGTTTTAAAGTGTCCAGGAGAACTTTACGATATCAGTGATGAGCAATTCACAAAAATTTTTGAAGCACAATTGGAGCCATTTTTTCCGCATCAAAATTATTATGATAAAGGTGTTTCTGAAAAGTTACAACAAACTGGCCTTGTTACATGGAAGAAGCTGGTAAAAGACGCTTACAAACTAACATCTTTGATGAAAGAGAGAGCAAGTGCAGTTAGAAGAATATCAAACCAGTCCGTTGCTATTGATAGAAGCTGTTTTCTAATTGAAGTGATAACGTCAGTACCAGCTGGACTTTCTCATAAGATAATGGCAGAATTATCAACAGTTCCCTTTTTAGCAGTGCAAGTACTACAACCTGATCAATATCCACGCTGTCTTCAATGGTTTGGAGCTAGAAAGAAGAGAGATCTGTTTGAAGCACCATGTAATGTTCACATGTATGATGCTAATCCATATCTTATTGGAGCTGTGGCTCCAATATTAAGCTCTGCGTATTTCAAACAAAATATGAACTCAATAAGACCTTTTACAATGTCTGTAACTATTAATGATGTCATTGCACAGCTTAATATTCTTGTTTCTTCTGTTAAACTCCCACTTTCTACCTCTGAAGAGGTTACAAGCATTACGTCATGTGTATGCAGCATATACAATTACCTTAATAATCATAGTAGTAGTATATCAAAGCATGATTTACCAGCTAAATGGATATGGTGGCAGAATGAGGGAGGGCTATATACTTTCGTGGATTCCATTTTTTTTGTATGGCACTCAATCATTTCACTCAGTCCTTTCATTCATAGTCTCATGCAGAATCCACAGTATGCCTTATATAGGAATCTTTTCATTAAATCTGGAGGCATACAAGAGTCTCCTGCAATAGATGAAATTGCAGGTGTCCTGCATAGAATAGCTTCAACTTTCTCACAACTGGATGAGAAATACCTTGAAATGGTCATTAACATTATTTTATATCTCAAGTCTAAGAGTTTCTCTGGTAATGTTTATCTACCAACTACAGACTGCCTGATCCTGCCAGCCAAAGATTGTACGTATGATGACAGAGAGTGGATCAGGAAGCGTGTAGGAGCTGGAATAAGTAAATATAAGTTTGTACATGAGAAAATTCCACCAGTAGCAGCAAAATATTTTGGTGTAGAACCGCTTAGTAAAAAGGTAGCACCATCAATGGGATTAGAACTAACTTACACTAAAGCAGGTCAATCTGAGAGAGTCACAAGACGCATTGGCGGTATAGTTCGTGACTATAGTGGCAATATTGATGTTTTTAAAGAGCTAATACAGAATGCAGATGATGCTGGAGCTAGTAAAGTGAAACTACTCATAGACTGGAGACATCATGGAACGGAATCAGTTATTGCTGAAGAAATGAGCCAGTGGCAAGGACCAGCTTTGATTGCTTATAATAATGCGACATTCTCTGATCAAGATTTTAAAAATATATGTGAGTTAGCTGCTGAGTCTAAAATGAAGGATCCCATGAAGACAGGACGTTTTGGAGTCGGTTTTTGTGCCTGCTATTCTCTCACTGATGTCCCTAGCTTTGTTAGTCGTCACTCAATAACTATATTTGATCCTCACACTAAGTACCTTGGAGATAGAGTCACTCATAATGAACCAGGCATGAGGATAAACCTAGTGGAGAATAGGGAAGACCTCACTGTATACAAGGATCAGTTTGTCCCGTTTGATGGTCTTTTTGGCTGCCACATATTTGAATTGACTGGTGAGGGTTTTGATGGAACTCTGTTTAGATTCCCAATGAGAATGGACTCATTTCCTAAGAGTGAAATATGTAATGATCATTATGATGAATATCATATTGATAGTCTCATAAAGGAATTGAGACGTGAAGCCAATAATATTCTACTTTTTCTCAAAAATGTGCAGTCACTAGAATTTTATGTAATACCTAAGACTGCCAAAAGCCCATCAGAAATGAAACTTCAATTTAAAATTGAGAAAGAATCCAAGGAACATAGTGCAAGGCTCCAAATAATAAGAGATCCACATTATGTTACTAACCCTCTCTGTTCACTAGTTACTATTAATTTTCAAGATGATTCAGGCAGTTCAAAATCACAATTATTAGTAGCAACGGCTCTTGCTAAAACTGCTCTTCCAAACTCTAAACCTGGTCTACTCCCATTAGCTGAACTGGCCATACCAATTTCACCTGATTCCTGTTGTCCTCTTAAACTTAAGGACAATGGTAGCCTTTTCTGTTTCCTTCCACTTCCACTCAAAAGTTATGTACCTTTTCACATTAATGGGTTTTTTGATATTGGTAAAGACCGTCGGGGATTGAAGGAAGCCACACAAAGCTTAGAGTTTCAATGGAATGAAGGACTCATTACAGCTGTGTTACCATTTGCTCTTGAATCAGCACTAGCAAAACTAGCTAAACAGCTTAAAACTCTTAGCAGTGAGACCCTGAAACAATATTATTCCTTGTGGCCTGGTGACTATTCCTCTAGTGATGACAGGCGTAACTGGTTATCAGGAGTTTTTAGTACAGCAGCAATGAATGTACTGATTAATAGTAAAGAGAAGCTGATGTGGTCTACTGCAAATGGTGGCTTATGGGTTACTCCAAGGGAATCTTATTTGTTTATTAATGATGCTAGATTGCCTAAAGAGATTGAAAGTGAAGCAATGACTTTGATCAAGTCTGAAGGATACCCTCTGATTGAGTGTCCTCCTCATGTTGTCAAATCTCTCACAACAATGCTGGCCAGCAATAATCATATTTTAAGCTATCAATGGTTCTTTACAACTGTTTTTTTACCAAATATTAACAGTATTAGTGAGCCTATTAGAACAAACCAAATCATGTTTGTTCTTCAAAAAATTAAAGAAGAGCAACACATGTACTTTAATAAAAAGTACTCTTGGGCTATTTCACCACTAAAAGATACTGCTTGCATATCTGTGTCCAGCTTGAGCAGATTAGCAAAACCATGTGATCTTATAGACACTTCATGTAAACCTATGGCTCAATTGTATGATGAGACTGAAGGTTTTTTTCCTGATAAGAAGTTTCATAAGGTATCAGATATACTGAATATGCTTGGAATGATTTCACAAGAACTGCCACTTGATATGCTAGCAGAAAGAGCCCGTACTGTCTCGATTCTTGATAAGCAAGCAGCTGAAGGAAGGATGATGTCATTGTTATTCTACATTCATTATGTCGAGAATCGTGATATTCAACATAGATACATGTACAGTCAGAAAGAAACAGAACTGAAAAAAAGAGAAGAAAGAATCAATGTTTTAAAAGATATTCCATTTCTTCTTTCTGTTCCTAAGCCAGATAGTGCTTCTGTTCCATGGAACTGTAACACAAAAAATTTTTTACCTCCCTCACAATTATACTCACCAGCACATTCTTGTCTTGTATTTGCTTCAGTTCCATTGGTTAATATTCCAATAGCCTCTGATAGTAATATTGAAATTGATAAGATGGTTAATTATCTTGGTATTAATAAAAATGAACCAACACTGAACGTAGTACTTGATCATTTGTGTGAGCTAATACAACACTTAAATTTACCATCACTGGATGAATCTACGCTTCAATATATTGAGAAAGAGAAAGTATTTTTCAAAATTTATAACTTTATTCAAATAGCTCAAAAACCTCTGAGTTCACTAAGTATTAAAGATACTGCCATTGAGAGGCTCCAAAACAAAAAGTGCATCTGGCAAAAAGGAAAGCTACTCTACCCTAAGCAAGTTGTGTGTGATTGGAATGTAGAAGAATGTCTTCCTTATGTTGTTCCACTTTCTGATACTAATGTACACTTTAAAGAGCTTTTTGTAATATTAGGTGTACAGGTAGGACCAAGCATTGAATATCTTTTTTCCTTGTTGGCACAGATAAATGAGGATTTTTTTGAAACTCCTCTTAAAGAAGATGTCTTGCATCTCACTATTCAAATTGCTGAGAGGTTATACTCTTTATCACCATCGTCTTCTGATTTCCCTGTTAATAGAGTTTTGTTACCAAATGATAAAGGCATACTTTGCCCTGTTTCTAAACTATCCTGTGATCCATTTGTTGACTCTGACTCTGAGTGGATATCACAATTATCAGATTATCAAGATTTTGTCTTAATAGGTGGCCGTCCAATTTATCCTAAAATTCCAAGAGAAACTGCTTTAAGGCTTGGCGCTCGTCCTCTTCTTGATACCATTGTGAAACACATAGAAGATGAAAACTTCCTTGATGACACAGATTTTGGTCAAAGTGAAGACCTTGTTGATCGATTAAATGGGATACTCAAGAAATACCCTGCTGACACTTCAATATTTCGTGAGTACATACAAAATGCTGACGATGCTAAAGCAACAGAAATAGTGTTTGTACTTGATCACAGGAGCAAACATCCACAGGAGAAGCTATTGACAGAAGGCACGGAATGGGCATCATTGCAACGTGTACCAGCACTGTGTATTTATAATAACCGCCAATTTATGGAGGAAGATATTAAAGGAATATGTAAACTTGGAAGAGGAGGGAAAGGAGACACAGCTGATACCATTGGACGATTTGGAATTGGATTTAATGTCTCGTATCACTTAACTGATTGCCCAACATTTGTATCATTTGACTCTCATGGTCATCCTAAAGACTTGTGTGTGTTTGATCCATTGAAAAAGTACTGTAATAAAAAGAAAGGAAATCCAGGAAGAAGATGGAAAGTAAATCAAAGGCACATGAACCAATTCCCTGATCAATTTAAGCCTTTTTTAGTTGATGAAATGGAGCAAATGAAAGTAATGGCTGATTGTTTTGAAGACAAAAGCTCTGGATTTGTTGTGTTTCGTCTACCATTAATACGTGACAAGCCACTAGGTTTTATTCCGATGAGCAATACAAGGTGGTTGATGGAAGGTAGAGCTCATGATGTACATCAAGTCATTCAACTGTTAAATGATTTCAAAGCTGCTTCAAAAGATATGCTCCTTTTTCTTAATAATATCAAAAATATTTCAGTGTTTGAAATAAAAGCAGACGGTAATTGTGTTCATCATTTTTCATCAAATGCAACAGTAAAAAATGAACCCAAAGGAACTTTCTTAAAGTTTGGTAGTACTCTGATTCAAACTGTGGTTACACATCAAGTGAACTTAGCAAAGGAAGATGATCAGGAAACAGTCACAAAATGGCTTATTAGTAAAAGAAGTGGATTTCATCAATCCTCTTACGAACTCTCTGAAATATGCACTAGAGCATCAGAGAGAGGACTAGAACCATTTGGAGGAGTAGCTACTACCTTGGATGCTGAATCACTGTTGAATAATGGCAGTTTATTCTGTTTCTTGCCTATGAATATACCTAGCTGTCTACCTGTTCATTTAAATGCCCATTTTCTTGTTGATGATTCAAGGAGACATTTAGAGAGTCTACCAGGACTGGAGAAATGGAATTCCAGCATTGCTGAGCATTTGTTATTGCCAGCTTATATTGATCTACTCCTTGAAGCACGAAAGGAAGTAGATGGATCTGAAAAGAGTATAAAATGGTTTTACAGCCTTTTTCCTAATATATCAGATTCAAGCTCACTTCAGACATCTGAAGCTAGTCCTCTAAACCTAAACGTGTTACTTTATTCCAAATTACTACAAGAAAATTGCCCTGTACTACTCGATGCAAGTGGCTTAAAGAATGGAGACATTAAATGGTTAAATATGAATATCGGGCAGTTTTGTATTGATCGTACTTTTAGTCATGAAAACAAACTTGTGGTAGGTGCTAAAGAACTTGAGCCAGTGTTTGTATCCTTAGACTTGCCAATAACACGAGCACCTGCATATCTTTTTAGAAGCTTTGTTAGAATAAATAGTGGTTATATCAAAACTGGTCTTTTAACACCAAACAAAGTCCTTAATCATGTTAAAACTATTGATCGCAAATTATATGAAAATACATTAAAAGAAAAATGTCAAGGTTTGCTTTCTTTTTGTACTCAACATCGTAGAAGTGATGAGATACATGAATGCTTGAAAGGTGCCCCACTGCTACTGACACTAGCTGGTACTTTAAATTTTACAGGGAAGTTATTTGAGTCTAAGTTTTCTGTCCTCCTTCCTCATCAGAAGGAATTGTTTGTGAGTCCATCAATGGAGGCCAAATTGCTACAAGATGGAAGATTTGGAAATGTCATTGTCCCTCTTCCTGTAAATCATGTTTCTAGCTCAATAAATTTAAGCAAAGTCAGCAGTCCAATGAAGCTATCTGATGATGAAGTTCAACTTGTTAAACATCTCTGGAACTACCTTATACACATGAACTCCTTTTTATTTCCTTCATATGTTAGTATAGATCAGTTCCAGCATATGCCTATACTACCAGCCACCAGTGGATTCTATTATCCTCCTATTTTAGGAAAATGTTTGTTTAATCAAGGAGTAGGTAGCAATTCACATGTTTTAACAGCAATGTTAAAGTTGGGTTATGAGACAATATACTTTAGTCAAGTAGGTCAAGCTCTTGCCCCACATTTTGTGAATTCTTACATATCAAGTTCATCTTCTTGCTCTGATATTATACAATGTTTAAACCTACGTCCTCCAAATCTTAATGTTAGTTTTAATGAAGAGGAAGTGACTCATATCATATCTGTATTGTCACAAGCAGATGAAATCAGTGATAAAATTATCGCTATTCTAAAACAGTTACCAATATTTGAAACAGTCAACAAAACATACATAAAAGTGAGCAGTGCGAAGTTTCACATTAAACCATTGCTAGTTCCTAGTGCAGGTATTATAACAATACAACAGACAATCAATCAACTAGTACTAGCAAATCCTAGCAGTCAAGCTGACACTCTATATAAAAAAATTTTTAAAGGTGACTATGAATCTGCACAAGCTGGTGGGGAATGTGGATTTTATCTCAATTACCTCATTCCTCATTTTTCCTATCTGACCGAGTCTGAGCTGGAAGTACACCTTGACTTCATCAAACGTAGTTACTTTTATTCTTCTTCTCATTTTTTGACATTACAAATTAAAGAGTGGCAACCTGTAATTGCTGCATTAAAGAAAACCCCACTACTTATGAGGCAACAAGATGGCAGTGGTGGAATAAGGCAGTTAGTGTCAAAATTCTGTGACCCTAACATAAAATTTAATGTTGTTTTCCAAGAGTCATTGCTTCCACCTATGAAATGGAGATCAGATGAATGGTTACCATTTTTGAGAGAGCTGGGACTGCAATCAAAAGTGAGTACAAGTGTATGGCTAGATAAAGCACGAAAATTTAGCAAAGAAATTGAGAAGATAAACAAGAGAGCGAAACCACCAGATAGCATAATGGACAAATCAACTGTTCTCATTGCATCATTAGAAAATATTATCAGTTCCATCAATTCATTCTATTTTGGTTATCAAGAAAAGGAAGGCTCAGATAAAATTGAACTACCAGAGGAAATTTCACGTTTTTTAGCTGAAGCTTCAAAAATCCAATTCATATACTGCCCTGAACCTTGTAAGTTAGTAGCTCACATTGAAACTATTACTGGTGAATCACCAGTTCAACACCAATACTTCATTAGTTTTCATGAAGCTGTATTTTACAGGAGTGCAAATAAGACTTGTTTGGTTAGAAAAGTTTTACCAGCATCTTGTCAGTTTCTTCAAAATTTTCATTTCAAAATAAATAACAAGCTAAGCATTAGAGAGCCTATTAATTTGAAAGCAGTCGTCAAGAATTTAGTAGCACTGTCTGAAGCTCTGTCAACTGTAAAAGTATTTATTCCCTCCCTTGAGTCAACAAGAGCAATTAGAAGGGTAAAAGAAATAATTGAAAGTCATTACTCTTTCATGGAATCAAATTTGGATGAAAAGATGATTCGTGAGCTGACAGAAGTCTCTTGTGTGTTACTAACAACAAGTCAACTCACATATCAACTAGTGAAACCAAGCCAGCTTGTTATTGATCTTCCCAATAAATCAGACTTTCATCCTTTTTGCTATGGAACTCCAATTGAACTTATGAGATACAGTAAGTTATTAAATGTTCTTGGAATAAAGAAGAAACTTGAACCAACACAATATATATCAATATTAAAAGCCATTAAAAATGAGCTAAAACATGGAAAGTTAACTGAAGACAAACAGTTTGAAAAGGTGTGTCAGTCTGCTTATATTGCACTTGTAAAAGACTTGCGATTACTTCAAGAGATGCCAATATTTTCTAAAGATGTCGTTATATATCTTCCTTCTGATGGTCAGGAACTGGTAGCATCAACAGAGCTGGTACATAATGATGTTCCATGGGTAGCTAGTCGGTTGAAAAAATCGAGTCAATTGTTAAAGTATAAGTTTCTACATCCTCCACCTCCAGATGACAGAGGGCAAATGGCACCACCATCTTGTCTTAGAGTTAAACTTCTCAGCAATTTAGCTGTTGAGAAACTAAGCACTTTCACTACTGATAGATTAAACAAGTGTAGTGATCAGGAACTTTTTGAAAACAAAAAGCATAAAACTAATTGTAAAGCAGTTCAAATCCTTGAAGACACTATCCATTCACATGATTTCACTAGAGGTATTGGTCGTTTGTACTGGCACCAACATCAGAAGCATCCAAAGAAAGATGCACAGTTTTGCCTTCAACTTTTGTCATTGAGCAAGTGTGAGATTCATTGTGTAAAAGACATAACAACTATTATTCACTTGGAAGGATCGGCAATGAAGAATACAGAAGATTCATCTAGACTTTGCTATATTGTGACCACTGGACATCAACCTCCAGAACAAAAACAGGGAGAAAAACAAGGACAGGAAAAACAAAGCGTGCAGTTGTATATTTCTCATAAAGGTGCCATGAATGAAGACAAACTTTTTGAAGAGCTGGCAAAGGAGATAGGCCACCATTTATTACACAGTACTGGTGATACAGTAAATATCAAAGAAATGTTTAGATGCTTTCCTCATCAGATATCAATGGTATTGGATAAGTTAAAAATATCCCCATTCAATCTACAGTCCTCTGGTGATGGTACTGATTTATCTTCAAGTGATCAAGACGTAGGATGCCTTATTTATGATCATACCTTTTCAAAAGAAGAGTTTATAATCTTTTGTAACTATGATAAAGATGAGAAGGTTATTTTTCATTACCTGGAGAATGGAAAGGAATGTTTTGTTTATGCTAAAGTTGTTGATTATACTCCAAAAACTGAATCAAGATTGAGCGACATGTGTATCAAAGTATGCATAGGAAACACTGACAAAGGAGATCCGATAATAAAAAAGGCATCTTTGTTTCAAGTATACAAACTGCTTGATATGCCACAAAAGAATTACCTTGAGAATGGATCCTCATCTCCATATGTGTCACCATTGATAATTTCCCCTGTGCCACAAACTGAAGAAAAATTAGAAAAATGGATGAGAGATACACTAGTTTACAATGGAAAGAACTCGTGTTGCTCTGCAAAACAGCTCTCAATGAGACTGACTGGACACTTACATTATGTACTGGTACGCAATAACAAAGGGCCCGAACTATTTGTACAAGCATCCAAAACAATATTGGATATTATCAGTGAAGAGGATATTGCATTGGGTTCAACAATACAAGCTGTAGAGGATCTTGTAAAAAAGTTAGAATCACTTTCTATTCATGATGATTCTATTGCTGGTGAGCCACAGACTCCACCTCTCACTGCTACCATACCAACTAATTTTCTATATATGCAAGGCTCTGCAAGAATATCCACTTCTCTTCCTAGAAGGCAACTCTTTAATCGATCACCAAACACACAACGGCAGCCAACAGTTCCTCAACCTACAAGTTCCATACCAGTGTATAGGATAAACCCACCTGGAGGAAGTGGATATAGTATAGGAGGAAGTGGATATAGTGGAGGAGGAAGTGGGTATAATGGAGGCAGAGGAGGAGTGAGTGGAATAAGAATAATAGGGAATAGCAATCCTTTTGTCACTAGGACATTACTTCCAGAGACTACTATACAGCCTCAGCAGCCTCAGACTGACAAGAACAAAGCTAAAATGTGGCTACAGCAGTGTAAAGCAGATTATCTTGCTGCAATTACTGCATGGACTTCTGGAGAAAATTTACTTGAAAACCAGGTAATATATTGATCCTATTACATTTTCATAAATAATTGTATGATATTTATGTGAGAGCAGCAAAGTGTATATCTAACTACATGTATATTTCATGCATGGGTTATAATTATTTAAAATGTTTTGTAACAATTTTCTGTTTTGCAGGAAGAAGAGGAAGAAAAAGAGAAATTAGAAGAAAAGGATAAGAATTTAGTTGATGATAAACAAGAAAAAGAGGAGGAAGAGGATCAAGAAGAAGAGGAGGTGAATGAAGAAGAAGAAGGGAAGGTAAAGGAAAAAGAGAGGAAGGAAGGAAAGGAATATGGTGAAGGTGAGGAAGAAGACGAGGAAGATGATTATGAGGATGATAAAGATGAAAAAGAGGAAAAAGAAGAGGATCTGATAAAGGAAAAAGAGGAGAAGGAAGAAGATGAAGAAGATGAGGAAGATGATGATGAGGATGATAAGGATGAAAAAGAGGAAGAAGAGGATCTGGTAAAGAGAAAAGTAGCCACTCAGCATAAAGAAACTTGTCGCTTTCCAGCACTGATATGTTTTCTGTGTCATGATGTTGTGGAGAAGTGTCTTAAAGGCCTTATGTATGCTAGATGTGGTCTACCTGAATTTCTAATTAATGACAGTTGCCTAACAAAAATCAGTACTGAAATACAAAAATCGCCTCACATACAGAAGAGAATCAAAGATATTGTGAAGGAGTGTGTCTTACAAGTCAGTGAGCATGATAATAGAAGCAGATATCCTCATTATCAGATACCACCTTGTGCACCAGCTAGTGTTTATAGTTCATTAGAAGCAATGGAAGCATTGAGAGCTACTAGGAAACTAATAAACAAGATAAGAGAAGATGATGAATTGAAGGAACTGTTAGGTGACATTGATGATTTACCAGAAAAAATGTTTGATGTTTTAGTCCCTGTCTCTGGAAACAGTAAGTTGTACTGTACATGTTACAGAGTTAATTCATGCTGCCAAATGTTTTGTTGCTTAGAAATAGTGCAAAATCTTTTTGTAATTTTTAGTAAATTTTTGTCAGTTTGCTATGGTTTGCATACTGCCAAATGCTTATTTGCCAAAATTATCTATGTTTCCCAGCCTTAACAAAATTAGCAAAATTGAAGTATCTTATATCATTGCATGATTAAAACGTTATAGGAGGTTTGTGAGCAGCATAAAAACTGAGAACTGACCTACAGCACATGGACTAGCCTGAATCTTTTTGTGCTGTACTACATCCAAATATTGTCTAATTTTTAAAATGCTGATAACTCGAAATTTATTTTCTGGAAACAGCTCCAACTTTCTATATATTGCTACTTACATGTACATCATAGATACTACAAAAAGTGTACATGTGTAACTGCTTTATTACTTTCCCTTCATGATCTCTTTCTTACTCTACTAACTTATCCTACACGATTTATTATTTTTGTTATTACTATTCAAATGTACATTGTTTACGCCTATTAATGCTAATTATAAATGTTGTAAAATAATGATAATTAATGCCTGTAATAGATCTATATCTGATAAAAATTGTTACATAGGTTTTCCTGAATACTGGGATGATCACACTGAAGAAGATGGCCACCTTAAGCTTGTTTTATTGAGTCCACTCTCTGATGAATATTGCCGAGTTATTGCATGGTTTCAAGGTACTTTACCGAATGTTACAATTCATCGTGTGGAACGGATTCAGAATAAACTACTTTGGCAAAGATACTTGGATTGTGCTAAAAGAAGCATTCAATTTGGTGTTGTTGATCGTGGGAAAAAGTTATTTCATGGCACTAGAAGTAATGATCCTAAGGAAATATATGGAGGAGATTCAAGTTTTGACATGCGTTTTAGTAACAATGGATTGTGGGGGCAAGGAAATTATTTTGCTGTCAATGCCTCATACTCTCATAATTATGCTCATACTGCAGGCCCATATAAGCAAATGTTAGTAGCAACTGTCTTGACTGGACTCTCTTATTATTCTCAGCCCAGTCCATATCGCAAGCCTCCTTGGTGTTCTACAGCAGGTGGTATAAACCGTCGTTATGATAGTGTTTATGGAGATACAGGTGGCTCTAGAGTATACATTACTTATGACAATGAAAGAGCTTATCCTATGTATCTTATAACTTATGCATAACATACAAAACTTATGTATTAATTTGACTATTCATTAGTGTAGAAAATTGTAGTAATTGTTACTTTTTTGGTTAACATTAGCTAATTTCTATGACTTGTCACAAAATCATTATTACTCATTATACAATGTATAAAAGTGTTACTATAGGTGGACTAGCACACTAAACAAAACTAAGATAAGACTGCACCACCAGTATATGATACACGATTAACTACGACTTAATTTATTAAACAATATCAGAAAAATCCATATAGCTAGCCAGTGGCTTAATGAGTTCATTGATTGATGTAGCCAAATCACTGAACGTTGGTCTGTCATTTATTGACTCACACCAGCAGGACAGCATCAATGCATAACTGTGTGAAAATAAAAATTAATTATTTGCAATAATCACAATATTACATTTCTTCTGAGCAAGCTCCATTATAAGGACGATGTAGTCTTCCTCCAGTATCCAGTAACTCTACTACACCTACTGGATCTAGCCCAGGATAAGGTGTCTTACCAAGACTAAACACTTCCCAGCACAATACACCGTAAGACCACTGAATGTGTGCATCATAAAAATTTTAACAGAATAGTAAAATTTCAATTAAAACACTAACTACATCAGTCTTCACAGAAAATACTCCATCATGAAGACTTTCTAAAGCCATCCATTTAATGGGAAGCTTGGCTGGTGCTGAACCACTTTCCTCTTTTGATGATTGTCTAAAATAATCTTGACCGTGTACTTCTTCTGATAGACCAAAGTCAGCAACCTTAATAATTCCTTCATCATCAATCCTTTCAAAATTTGAATAATAAATAACTTATTAAAATCTTACATGCAATTTCTAGCAGCCAAATCACGGTGTATGAAGTTATGTGATGCCAAGTAAGACATTCCATTAGCAACTTGCAAACAAATTGAGAGTAACTGTTTCCTGACGTTTAGTATAACATCCTCTTCACTAGTATCAGATACTGTAAGATTAGGCCTCTCCTTCTTTAGGTATGACAGTAAACTTCCTCTGGACATGAATGGCATGACAATATATGGAGCTGGCCCAAGGTCTAAACACACTCCAATAAGAGAAAGAACATTAAGGTCATCAAAATTTGACATCTTTATGCATTCGCTGACAATATCTTCAATGTCACTTTTTGAGTACAATCCTATGTATTAAAAAATTGTCAGGTATTATTTAAAACTATACTGAAAGTTTATTCTTGTTTAATGGGTTAGGTCTACTTAAAATTATACCTTTTAATGTTTTTACAGCCACTGCCTGTGGTACACATTTATCATTTGTCATTATTCCTCTGTAAACTATGCCAAATTCTCCTACACACAGCATTATAATTATTATTAATACATAATTATTAATTATTTCCAACCTTGTCCAACAGTTTCTTCCAGTACTAGTTTATCTCCAGGGATTATATATTTTGAAAGTTCACTCATATGTGATGGAGAAATATTGTCAGATGCCAATATCTTTTTTCTTGGAAAATCAATGACTTCTTCAGCTAAAATTATCTCTGAAGCAATAATACAAATATCTAAAAATACTGACCAGCAAAATATCGAACAGACTCTCGTGATTCCAGTAATAGCATATTATTCATCAATAGCCTGCGGTTCTTCGCTTTCTTTCTTTTTACAATGCACAAAATTGGAACAATGATTAAGACCAAACAACACAAAGCTGCAAGTGAGGAAGATATTATAGTAGCTATTGGTAAACTAGTGCTCATAACACTAGGTGGTGCTGGTGTTCCTATACATCAGATATAGTATATTTGAGTTATGTTCTGTTACCTTGAATAATGATTCCTCCACCAGTGCAGCAGTCACTGGTCAAATTAAGAAAATCAATAAAATTGTCAGTATTGTTACACTCTGGAGTCTCAAATCTAAGAGTTTGGTATTTATAGCTCTTACAAACTTTTAGAAATACTTCCCAGCCTTTAGAACACAATTGTCTTGATACGTAGTCACATTCATTAGGACACAAAAATCTTGGAACATGTATTGTACGATTATAACCACATGGTACATAGTAGTAATTGCAGAGAGCCTTAGCTGCTAGTTCATGACACTGTCCTGTGAAAGGGAATACATTAGTTAAATGCTCCATAAAATCCCTTATATCTGGTTGTCCAAAAATCTGCCCTGTGTACACATAGTCTTGCTCAGTGAAAACTGCATCACAGACTGATGGATTTGTTGTCTTGTAGTATGGCTCGCATCTTCCTTCAGTACTTAAAAACAACAATTATTTTATCAATTTGTAAATTGCATTGTTTATTACTTCATTTTATTCCAGAATGTGTGATCCAAGTCAGTATTACAAATTGTTTCATTATCTGATGTATCTATGATAATATTTAAATAAGTGGGTATTATTGCATTACATGTACCTATATCAAAACAAATTATACCAATATCTTCATTGTGATTGCAATTTGTGGTTTTTCTTGTGTGGGAACACTGAAGGAACAAATTTTCATTTCCATTGCAATCAATATCAGTTAAATGAATACTCCCGTTTCCTCCACCAAAATATGACTTGTCACGATATACAGCACCTGCAAATACATAAAACTAAAAAGAATCAAGTTTCTCACAACACTACCAGTAGTAGAATATCCTAATTGTCTGCATACAACCTCAGCATCATTATTAGTCCAACCATCATCACAGATGGTTCCCCAGCTTCTGTTAAGACAAATCTCAAGGCGACCTTCATTACCAGAAGTTCCATTGACCAAACGGATCTCACCATCAGAGCAATCTAAAACATAAAATGCTTAGAACTAAAATTACAGGAACATTATTGCTTACACGATGGCAGCATAATTCCACCATTAGAGCAACAGTCACTTGCAATATGTAAATTTTTAATTAAGCTATCAGTATTATTACATTCTGGCAACCTTAAGCTATCAGAGTAACTACTATATTTAGATGATAGATCTTTTAGAGTCCTCCAACCATCAGGACACAAATGTTCTGATACATAAGTACACACGTCAGGGCATAAAAATCTTGGAACATGTGTTGTACCATTGTAGCCACAAGATAGGTAATAATGTGTACAAAGTGTTGTGATAACTATATTGTAGCAATCTGATTTGAAAGGGAAGCGATTGGTGAGGTATTCAATGAAGCCTCTGACACGTGGTTGACTATGTGTTTGTGTGTTAGGCATGTATACATAATCGTCTTCTGTGAAAATAGAATCACACATTGATGGTACATTTCTTTTGAAGTAAGGTTCACATTTTCCTTGAGTACTATAAGCAATGAAATAATGAACTAATGAACTAAAAATAATAAAATCTTACATCATCTTAGACCAAACATCATCATCCAAATTTGTACTACAAACAGTTTTATTATTTGATGGATCTATCAAGAAGGAATAACTTGTTTTTTGCATAAAATGAATTTTAGCTACATACCAGTATCAATGCACATAACACTAACATCCTCTTTGTGTTCACAGTTATTTTCCCCAATTGCTTTGTGCTGACAATCAAGCAATGAAGTCTCAGAGCCTATGCATCTCACATCATCTAGCCATATTCTACCATTACCAGCTCCAAAGAATGCTCTATTACGATACACACTACCTATATATGCACACATAAAATTCAATCTACACCTCAATTTACCAACTGTAGAGTATCCTAATTGTTTACACACAACATCAGCATTAATGTTAGACCAGTAGTCATCACAAACAGTTCCCCAGCTGATGTCAATGCAGATCTCCACTCTGCCTTCCTTAGGAGTATTTCCATTGACAAGACGAAGCTCACCATATGAACAACCTTTACCAAATTTCAATGCTCAATATGAAGCAAAAGCACTCTAGCTTACCTGTAATCTCAACTTCTTTAAAACAACAATCATCTTTCAGGTTTAAATTTCGAATTAAAGCCTGTGTGTTATTACAATGTGGTAGGCCTAAACTGCTTTCGTAATCATTATAAAGTAAAGTAACAGCACGAAGAGTCCTCCAACCAGCAGAGCACATATTGTTTGATGCTTCGGTACACATATCAGGACATAAAAATCTTGGAACATGTACGGTACCATTGAAGCCACATGGTAAATAGTAATAAGTACAAAGAGCCTTTACAGCCTTGTAGTAGCACTCTCCAGTAAAGGTAAAGTAACTAGTTATATATTCCAAAAATCCTCTAACCCGTGGTTGACCTTGTGTTTGAGTTTTGGGCATGTAAACATAGTCAAATTCAGTGAAGACTGCATCACATATTGATGGTATGTTTCTTGTAAAGTAAGGTTCACATTTACCCTGAGCACTTATTAATACAATGCTAATTTGAAATTCACCAATGCTCATGTGCATACCTCATTTTAGCCCATAACTGATGATCTAGCACAGAACTGCAGACTGTTTTGTTATAAGTTGGATCTATAAAAATATTTCAATTACTATCCAGTATAATGCATAAATTACCAATGTCATAGCATAGTACACTGACATCTTCCTTGTGTTCACAGTTGCCTGTTCCAATTATGTGATGCCCACAATGAAGTAGTGATTTTTCAAATCCAAGGCATCTCACATTATCTAGCCAAATAGTTCCTTTACCCATTCCAAAGTATGCCCTATTACGATAAAAGTTCCCTGGCAAAAGAGACTATGACATTCATCAACATTACTATGTACCAATTGTAGTGTAACCTAATTGTCTACATGCAACATCAGCATTAGTATTAGTCCAATAGTCATCACAGACTGTTCCCCAAGTGTTGTTCACACATATCTCTAAACGTCCTTCATTTGGAGTGTTCCCATCAATTAGACGTAGCTGGCCATCATTGCATTCTGTGTATGTTTATTTTCAGTTGTACAATAATAAATAATAATTACTTGGCTGTGAGCACTTGACACTAACATGTGGTTGCATGCTACAATCTGCACTGAAGTTGTAGCTGCAGTCAATTAATGCATTCTCAGATCCATCACATTTTACATCATTTATGAAAGGCTCAAGTCTGTTGGCTGAGCTAAGGTCAGTTGAATTATAGTACACAGCACCTAAAGCATATTTTAACAATGACTAGTATAACTAAAGCTTACCAAGAGTTGAATATCCTAATTCTCTACAGACAACCTCAGTGTTATTGTGTGTCCAATTATCAGCACAAATAAGTTCCCAAGTATAGTCAATACATAACTCAATGTCTCCTTCATTAAAAGAATCTCCACCAACCAAACGAAGCTCACCATCATAACAACCTGTGAAATGAATTTTTGACTATTAGTGTTACTAAAATTGCATTTTAAGAAAATTGTATTCATTAATCACGCGTACAACTATGTTTTCAAACAGTCAAATAATTATTAATTTATGATAAATATTGGCAACATAAATATTCCATTTCATAAAAATATATTTTACCTTGTTGTAAACATGCTACACCAACATCCTCATAATGATCACAGTTATTAATTCCGATTGGAGCATGCCCACACAACAGCAAGGATGACTCAAATCCACCGCACTTTACATTATCTAAGAATATTTCTCCACTACCTTCACCAAAATATCCCATTTTATAATGCACTGCATCTAAAACATACAGTCAATATAACAAAGTAGTATTCACTTACTGTAATAATTGCATACCAGTAGTGGAGTATCCCAATTGCCTACATACAACTTTAGCATGAGTATCAGTCCAGTAATCATCACAAACTGTTCCCCATGTATTGTTAATACATATCTCTACACGTCCATCAGCAGCAGTATATCCATTTACTAAACGCAATTGACCATATGAACAACCTATTACAAAATAGATAAATCTAATTGAATCAATGAAGCCTTTACCATAAACCAAAGTAGCCAACTGAAGCAGCAGTATTATCCAAGGTAGGTCCACACAGAGCTGCATCATTATAATGTAGAATAAAAATAATTACATAGGATACACATTTATAGGTTTGGCAATACAGTATTATCATTATTATATATATATTATTCTTTTTAATTATCTGCACAGAAATAAATCAATATTTTAATAGTTGCAAGATATGCATTAAAAAAACAAACACTCTCCTGGCACACAGAACATACTCACCACAGAATGCTACACTGCAGAGTGAAAGTATCTAGTTGTAGATCTATGTCATCCACTGCTAGAATTTTGTGGATTATGCAACTAGTACTAGACCATATATACTGTGTAAATTTTATAACTTATCCACTTCAAATGGTGTAGAACAGTTTCCTTAATAAGATTATTATAACATCTTTAATCTATAGCCATCTCAACAGTTGGAGACTTAACACAGCCCTTGATCAACGTTTTTACACCATCTTTTGAGTATCATATCAAATAGTATCCATACCACAATAAAAAATATTCAGCATCTAGGAATTTTTGTTTGGGGGAGAAGCCCAGAGCAGTGGACTGGAGGGGGAGGGGAGGCTGTGTACATACATGTATGTACATGTACAGTACATGCATGCAGTTACAGAAGTACACAGGGGGAAGCTGAAGAGTTTGGGGGGATGCTTCCCCCCCTGCCCCCCACTAGATAAAACCCTGGCATTGTATTGATTTCAAAAAATAAACTATCACCCATCTAGTACTACGACAACTATTAACCTCAGACAAATCAAGTACAAGTACAGTACAGTAATTTATTTTAATAGCAGATAATTTTTAAAAATATTTTAAACAAACTACTGGGTTACACAATAAACATAATTTTCAATCAATAGTCTTTGAGTAGTCTGATGTTTGATAGTTGGATTGGAGAGAAGAACTTGTGGACATGTTTCTCTGATGCATCATAAGGGAGGCCTCTCATCCTAATGGTGTGGAGGAGAGGTGGTGGCTCACTCTCTTCCTCTCTCTCTTCTCCTCTTGTTTCGTCTGTTACATGCTCGACAACATTTGATTTAAGGAATAAATCACATACATTGTATATTAAGTAAAACATACATCAATAAGCAGGGTTTCCCATAGGGTTTTGGCATAGTGCTCATGTAAGTGGATTGTCAAGTCAAGTCAGAAATAGGGGCCAAAGACACTATACTATCTATAGTACAGGGTATTTAATATAAATCACAAGGAGAGAATTCACTATTTTCTGATACATATGCATCTCATTGTGTTGCTTAAGCTGAGTTGAATCAAATTTGAATTTTTTAATAATTTTTTAAAGTTACTCAAAAATTGGGCCAACAACCAAAAGACCTTTGAAAGAAATTTCTCCATTTTTATAATTTTTTTCCGAATCTGATACATATAAATGTACTTATGTTGACTAGAAAGTTTGAACTGATACTGATCAAATTAATTTCTTTATTTGCTCAAAAATTGGGCCAAAGTCCCTGTATACTACAACAGAGGGATTTTGGCCAAATTTTGTAGTATACAAAGCTATGTATGGTCTATCATAACTGGAGAGAATTGAAGATAATGTTATTGTTGGCTCATTAAGCTTGTGCTCTTTAGCCACTTTGTGGGAAACCCCTGTTATAACACATGCATTTGGATTGCATCAGATATATAAATCTCTTGTGTTGTGTTATATTATGTACCAGTAGTACTGGTACACTGTAGTCCTATTATGTGTGTGAATGTGTGTTTATACAATCAATAGATAATTTGGAATGTCTAAGTGATGTCCAGGTAGCAGAGAAGAAGCTGTTCTTAATT